TTCCTCCGCGCGTACCGCGAAAGCTCTGATGTTTCATTAGATTATTAAAGAAAGAAGACGATTCGATGTACCATTCTCGACTCTTACTCCTCGTCTGAATTCAGCCCCCCCCCCCCGCCGCGCGGAAGCTTTCACGTTTCATTTAATTAATACTCTATTGTCTGTATTCATTTTCGCCCTTCCCGCGCGAAGCGCGGAAGCTTTACCGTTTCATTTAATTATTAGAGAAGGAAGACGATTCGTTGTATCGTGTCCTTGTCTGATTTCAGTTCAACCCGCTCGGAAGCTTTGACGTTTCATTTAATTATTACTCTTAAATCACGTCTGAAATCATTTTCGCCCATCCCGCGCGTAGTACGGAATCTTTCATGTTTCCTTAAATTATTAGAAAAAGATGACGATTCGTTGTATCGTGTACTTTGACGTTTTATTTAATTATAACTCTTAATCCTAGCTTTGCCGTTTCACTAAATTATTAGAGAAAGAGGACGATCCGTTGTACTGTTCTCTATATTAATCCTTGTCTGAATTCAGTTTCCCCACTTGATGTTCGTTCGCAAATTTGTGCATGCACAGCCCGAGTGGTGGGTATCATGTTATCTCCCGGCAGAGCTTGTCGCAATAGCTTCTGGAAAGGAATTGTATACTACTGTTGGTGGTATCGGCCACTAATTAGGCCCATTAGCGACTATACAAAATATATGCTCTTCCTGGCTGTTTGGGAATGTGTCAGTTTGCAACAGAAATGGAGAAACGCGAATTTTGTTGAAAATCATGTGATATATTTCGGGGGCTGGCGCCCCCAAGCCCCCCCCCCCACCAGTACACCAGTGACATAGGCCTACATCAGCTTTTCAATAAAACAAAAATAAGATGTGACATTGTAATTTATCTCCAAAAATGTTTTATGAAATATCAGGAAATAAAATGAGTGAAAAAATGAAAAATTAATAGAGATACAATGCCGTGAATTTTAAAAAGGGTGAACGGAAACAACATAGCAACTAGTGAACTATCTTATAAGTCATACTAATGTCCGAAAATCTTTCTCCTTGTCTCCGATCTAATCACGAATTCGTCACAGAGTTCATCTATGTCTACACTGTCCAAAATAATTGTTTGATGCAGATTGCTACTTTTGCGCTTCGCGCTTAACCTTTAGCTCATTGCTTTTTAACGCTGCGCCTTTACATTTGGCGCACTGCATTTCTATGATGCTGTTGATTGAATAAATTGAATAAATTCATAAATTCCTGATGAAGCCGTATGAGCGAGAATTCAATTTATTCTTGTCTCATATACAGTTGTCTCATTTACTTCGTATATATATATATATATATATATATATATGTATTATGAAAATGAGATAGCAAAATGTGTATATTGTTGGTCATCTTGCGAGTAATAACCATTAACTACTCTCATCGGGCTCTCATTAATTTTTCTCTTCATTTTTTTTTGATAGTGAATTATTGGGGGGGGGGATGATTGTACAGGCCACCCCCCCCCCCATCTGAAATATTGGGGGGGGGGGATACATCCCCCATCCCCCGGGATCGACACCCATGTTTGTGTTTATTTTTAAAACCACCTGTACTATTTCTACAGGTTTGGAAAAATAATGTTACCAGGTAGTGGAATTTTTATTCATATTAAGCATGATCACGGGCCTGCATGTCAGATATGGACTTATTTCTCTACAAAAAAACAAGCACTTGTTAAATAACATTTAAAAATCCAATTTTCAATGGGCAAGTTTCATCATTTCACCCCAAATTGTAATGCATAATAATGCTTGCTTGGAAATCACATATATTCAAATGGTAATGATAATGATAATGATAAATAGTAAGGAAAAACTACAATATCTGTATATTTAATCGTTTCAATGAATTATGAGGAGAAATACAATGTATTTGGTATCTTTCCATATCGGCTATATTCAAATGTGTGTACCATTGAAAGGTGATTAGTATTAAATGCATTATTACCATGTAAAAAGAAAAAACAAACAAATACTATTACCCCGATCATTGGATTCAATACTTGCCCGTACACAGTGTGCACACAATCTGAAAATATATGCGAACATGTTTCCGTTTCTTCTTGGTACACTATAGTATGAACATAAATTGTCTGTAGCCAGCGTTAACATAATTTTTTTTAAATAAAAAGTGCGCCATGCAGCAACGTACATGACAACTCTCGAAGTTTCGTAATTAAAGATGAAAACTGTAGTCACAAAAAGATATCTTAACTTTTAACTTTATTGTAAAATTGGAGTTCTTGATCATATTAATTCTTGTCTAGAAATATACATACAATGATTCATTAGCATTTTTATTACGCTAATACTATGACAACGGTCTTACTTTTGCATCATCAACTACATGATTTGACTTGTAAATATTTTTTAATACAAACTTTACAAAAATCATTTTGGCATTGATGCACAAAAAAAGAATTCGTTATCAAAAAGAAAGGATTATTTTTATTTTCCCCACAATTCTATCAACTGTCAATATCTTGCCACACCAACAAATTATGCACATAAAAAGGTGGTAGACCTACATTGAAATTACAACGGAATATAAATCTTCCACCAACACCAACCAATCTAAACATAATAGGTAAAACAAACTATTGAGCCAATGTTTTTTTCTTCTTCTTCTTCTCCTTCTCCTTTTCTGCTTCATACACATTACTCTTTGAGCCTTTGGTGATCTAAAAAGTATTAAAATTTGAACTGTTCGTGAATTCACATCTTTAAAAAAAAAATGGTTTACATAAATTCCCATAAATAACATTTTTCTTCCTGATCACGTTCGCCCAAATCTCAATTACTAATAGTAAGTGGAGTACCCCAAAAATAAGAATACATCACACATGTTTAATTTTGATTTTGTACGAAAGACCAATTAAATGCTTTATTTTGCTACCAACATTTTCAAATCGGTTTAGTGGTTCTTGAGGGAAAAAAACTAAAACAATATCGACTATTCACCGAAAAAACCTGCCATAAAAATGAGGAAAAAGTAAGGTAAAAATTACCTTTGTCTAATTTTACATGGCTATTTAGTATTGAAAACCTAAATCTTTGCATTTTCTGTAAGAAGGTTATAGTGCTTCAAAGTAAAGTTAGTTTCAATGACCAGACTGGTTGTATTTCAACACACGGAGTTGTCAAAAATGCCAATTTGTTCAACTTGACAGTAATTGACACATCTGCAGGTGCAGAAAATAATGTCCAGAATGTGACTAAAAGCCGTAATTAATATGTGCATACCTAACATCTGGACTTTGTAAATGTTCTTTTAAGCTGAAACTATACAAGAATGTTTATCTTGGAGACTATTTTGTATCTGCGCAAAACATTAGGTAATTTGTCATTAAATATGCAAATTAGCAACATGAAAATACACGTTTTCCGTAATATTTATATTTTTTCACGAAAGCCATTTGACCTGTCTGCCAATAATGTACGAGTACGGGACATCTAGTCAGTATATGTGTTAACGTTTTCAAATGACAGACACTTGAGATATTAGTGTTTCAGTCGATGGACTTCTAATACGAGCTTATGCATCGAAACTGTATTTAACTACTCAAATCTGGTATATTCTGGTATATTATTATTATTATTATTATTATTATTATTATTGTTATTATTATTATTATTATTATTATTATTATTATTTAAAAAAAGATGACTATTTAACGCCTCTTGAAGCATTCTCTGAAATTGAGTAGATTATTCATTTTGAGTTGACTTTGAATTTTGTAATGTAGATCTCCCAAACGAAACAAAACTGCAATTTCAATATAATAGAACTGTACGTACATGAGAACGATCACAGCTAGCCTGTATTGTAAGGTCATCGATCTCCATTGAATGAAACATAATTATAAGGAAAGTCCATTTTTACGGCGCGTGTAGTAATTTTGTCTGTGGTGATACTACAACACATACAAGGCGCTGCACTGGAAAAAAAAAAATCAGATTTAAAAATATATAAAAATCCTTATGACCTACGATTTGAAAATTCACAGATACCTGGCTGAAAGTATTAACTTACATTTTGTGTGAAAAAAACTAAGCCCGTACCAGCTTTCAAACCTATAATGCTTGAGTTGTAAATAGTCTAATTTTCAAGTTTGGCAGTGTACACAGTGTGAGGCAGGTAATCTGTGCGTGCACTAGCTGTCATCAGCCTACTAATAGAAATAAATAAGGCGACAGAGGATCACGTTGTTGCACCCTACGTTGGATTTGAAAGTATATCCTGTGAAAGACTCCCGTTCATAACTGACATCTATTTACTTGTGTATATAAAACTTTGACCTATTTGCGAAACGACGTCCCCAATCGTTTCAAAACTCTGAACAAAAATAAATTCGAAACAGAATCAAAAGACTAATCTTTACAAAATGTATTGCTATCAGAAAACTATTATTCTTTTGGTGTGTTCATTTTGTGTTGTTTGAATTTATTTTGTTGTTTATGCATCTGCTCGGGTATTTTTTAATTTCCATATGATATAACATAGCTTCATTTCATTTTATCTGACAATGAATAAATAACAGAGTTTTATCTTTAGCGCTGGTTATTTTGCTTCACTTTCAAGTGTTCTTTTACTGACTTTTTAAAAATTGTAATCATATCCTTACTTGTAATAATAATTGTTGTTATAGTAATCATATATATATTACTTGAACTTATGATAATTCTTATTTTCAATTTTGATTTTGAATATTTGCAGTATTTTGTCCAGCCTCATTCTAAAAATAATGATAGAGAATATTTATTAAACGCATAATAAATTGAAAATTTCTCTATGCGCTTTAAAATCATGACTTATTTGAATAGTATATACAACATAATAAATAACAAAATAGATAAGCAAATAACTAAAAATATTTATAGGAAAGTAAACCAATTCACCTATAATTACACCTAATTGAAACTATTTGAGCATGACATTATCACAAGTTCAACAAACAGACACCCGTTATGTCGAACCAACTTCCTAACCAGCAACAGGACAAAGCAGCTCCAGGAAACACTCGAAAACAAGTAATTTTTCCTGGACAGGCAAACTTCGCTACAAGTGAATGTTCTTGTATCTTTGTTCAATAATTGCTTTCCAGGTCTGTATTGGGGGCTTATCCCAAATCGCATAGTGGTCTCGAGCTCCCAATGGAGCCACTTGTTTCTCATGTCCATGTCTAGTCTGAAACCAAGATATTATATCCGTCATCTTCACCCCTACTTTCTGTAAGAGCATACCACAATAGACATCTTCCCAGGGTATCGGTGCAGCCAATTTCTGAGAGGCACGATAGATATCATGGGCAACATCTATGGAGAGGATATACGCGTATCCTCGAGGAAAAGGAGGCCATGTCTTCTTCGGATACAATTCATATGGAGTATACCACTTGTTTCCAGGATTCCGAATAGGTTTCCAGCCAAATGTAGGCTCGGCTAACACAAACTTTGAAAGAACGACATTTGCTTCGAGGTCGCTGACGAGGTTAACGATGTCCAGAGTGACATCGTCATCTATTGACATTACATAATTACTGTTTTTACAGAATGTGGATGCCCATTTGGCGGCCATTATGAGTTTAGTGGTTAGATTGTAGTAGCTATCAATAAAGTCCTCTTGTAGAATATCTCCGTGAATATCAGCCTCACTTTGTAGCTGAGCTTGCAGAGTTGAATTATTGTCCCCGGAGATTCCAGTAAGGAAAAAAATCTTCGCAGAAACATTGTACTTAACCACTGCCGCGCCGTATGTTTCTCTGATGACATTCCTCTGTTTTGCACCACTCATTTTAGAAATTACGCAGATAAGCAAGGTGATGCTTTCCGATTTCTTGCATCCATTCTCCTGGTTGATGAGATAGCGATACTCATGCTGGTCTAATTTGGACTCCCATTGAACATTCCGTCTCCAACCAAGCAGCTTCTCTTTTTCATGTAGCTTTTTTTTCACTTCCGAATGCGTTTCGGTCAGAGTACTCTTTACTTCATGTTGCTTTTTTTCTTCTTCAGAATGCGCTTTGATCAGAGTAATCTTTACTTCATCTAGCTTTTTTTCTTCTTCAGAATGCGCTTTGATCAGAGTAATCTTAACGTCATGAAGCTTGTTTTTTTCTTCAGAAAGCGTTGTGAAGTTCCTGCAGTAATTGAGAAAGATAAATGCAGAAAACACTAAAGACATGCGGAAGAAAATCCGCTTTATGGACCACATGTTGACGAAAGACGAATGATGAGATGATACGGGGAGTCGAAAGTATGTTTTGGAGCGAAGGTAGGCGCCAGTGAATATTATAAACCTCACACATAGAATGTCATTCACTGATTGGTCAAAACTATATCACATGACAAGGAGCATTTCGATCTATCATTGCGTCAAAGGGTTTGATAGTACTCCTAACCCCTCCGCGACTTTTGCACACACACATAGCGTACAAGATTTCAAATGCGCGCTCAAGCTGGGCCGCAGTAACTGCATTGCCTGTAAACATACAGTATAGATTGGATTTCCGTATGGATTTCTTTGAGCGTTGGATATTTGAAACTGTTTTGAGCTTCAAAGACTGTGATGAGCAGTGACGGATCCAGGGGGGGGGGGGGGGCGGGGCCCGCCCCCCCCCCTGGCAAAAAAAAAGAAGGAAAAAAAGGGGGAAGATTTGTTTTTTTTTTGGTTTTGTTCTAAAGAAAGCAACAACAACAAAAAGTGTTCCTACCCCCCCCCCCCTACCCCCCCCCCCCCAAAGCCACTTAACGAAATATCTGACGACGTAATTTTCCAATTTCCGGGGCCAAAAAAAAAAATTGCTCATCTGACCGTGATTAAATGCCCTAGAAGTTAGAACCCCTGAGCTCCCGGGCGCTCTCCCCCCTGTATTTCACCTAGGGCCCAAAGTCAGGCACCTGGATGCTCATCTGACGGTAATTTAATACCTAAAGTCCCTGAGCTCCTGATGGCTCCGCCCCCTGGACCCCACACCATTAGTGACCTACCAGTGCCACAAAATATGTATCAAAATATGCTCTTCTGACCGTAATTTATTGCTCACAACCCTGAGCTTCCGTGGGCTTCGCCTCCAGGACCCTACGCCAATTTGTGTCCTGCAAATGTCCCAAATAAGGTATAAAATATGCTCATCTGACGATAATTAAATGTATAAAACCACTGAGCTCCCGGGGGCTTTGCCCCCTGGACCCCACGTCAATTCGTAGCCCGCCAGCTTCACAAATAAGGTATCAAAATATGCTCATCTGACGGTAATTTAATGTGTAATCCCTGAGCTTCTGGGGGCTCCAACCCCTGGACCCCACACCAATTTGTGTCCTGCCATTGTCACAAATAAGGTATCAATATTTGCTCATCTGACAGTAATTAAATGATTATACCCCCTGAGCTTCTGGGGGCTCCACCCCTTGACCCCCGCCGAGAAACGTTCAGCGGGGCCTGCATGTTAGAATGGGGGTGATGGGGATTTTTTTTGTTTGTCTACCCCCCCCCCCTCCGAACGTTGTGTAACCATTACGTACCAATATTTGGCTCGCATAATTTCAAATTTGGGCCCCCCCCCCCTCCCCCTAAGAAATCCTGGATCCGCGCCTGACTCTCTGACTCCTCCAACTTCTATTTCTTTCATTCCTCCGTGCAGTATCCTAAAAGTTACGATTCTCAACCATTCATGGTTACTGTTGCATGCTGCCCTCTCTTGGCAAGAAACATGTATGGCGAAAAATGGATACGGGAATAAAGACTGTATATGCACCCGTCCTCAATACTCTCGGTGGTGGTTCAACACTCCTGAATTTCAGGTGTTTTGTGTTCAAGGGTGTCGATTTGTATCCGTGGTTGGGGGGGGGGGGGGGGGGGATGATTGGTGCCAAAATATTTTCGGCAATGGATCAAAGCAACCAAGAGGTAGAAGCGTGTGGCAGGTTAATTGCACCCCCTCTCCATGCATTTTAGGGGGGGGGGGGGCGGTAGTGAGCTCGCGAATCACTTACAGAGCGCGCTCCCTAGGAGGTTGGGTGCAGGGAGGAGGCAGTTTCCCTTTGACGTTTTATTAAATTATTAGAGAAAGAAGACGATTCGTTGGACCGTTCTCGACTCTTAATCCTTGTTTGAGTCAAGTTCCCCTTCCTCCGCGCGTACCGCGAAAGCTCTGATGTTTCATTAGATTATTAAAGAAAGAAGACGATTCGATGTACCATTCTCGACTCTTACTCCTCGTCTGAATTCAGTCCCCCCCCCCCCCCCCCCCCCCCCCCCGCCGCGCGGAAGCTTTCACGTTTCATTTAATTAATACTCTATTGTCTGTATTCATTTTCGCCCTTCCCGCGCGAAGCGCGGAAGCTTTACCGTTTCATTTAATTATTAGAGAAGGAAGACGATTCGTTGTATCGTGTCCTTGTCTGATTTCAGTTCAACCCGCTCGAAGCTTTGACGTTTCATTTAATTATTACTCTTAAATCACGTCTGAAATCATTTTCGCCCATCCCGCGCGTAGTACGGAATCTTTCATGTTTCCTTAAATTATTAGAAAAAGATGACGATTCGTTGTATCGTGTACTTTGACGTTTTATTTAATTATAACTCTTAATCCTAGCTTTGCCGTTTCACTAAATTATTAGAGAAAGAGGACGATCCGTTGTACTGTTCTCTATATTAATCCTTGTCTGAATTCAGTTTCCCCACTTGATGTTCGTTCGCAAATTTGTGCATGCACAGCCCGAGTGGTGGGTATCATGTTATCTCCCGGCAGAGCTTGTCGCAATAGCTTCTGGAAAGGAATTGTATACTACTGTTGGTGGTATCGGCCACTAATTAGGCCCATTAGCGACTATACAAAATATATGCTCTTCCTGGCTGTTTGGGAATGTGTCAGTTTGCAACAGAAATGGAGAAACGCGAATTTTGTTGAAAATCATGTGATATATTTCGGGGGCTGGCGCCCCCAAGCCCCCCCCCCCCACCAGTACACCAGTGACATAGGCCTACATCAGCTTTTCAATAAAACAAAAATAAGATGTGACATTGTAATTTATCTCCAAAAATGTTTTATGAAATATCAGGAAATAAAATGAGTGAAAAAAATGAAAAATTAATAGAGATACAATGCCGTGAATTTTAAAAAGGGTGAACGGAAACAACATAGCAACTAGTGAACTATCTTATAAGTCATACTAATGTCCGAAAATCTTTCTCCTTGTCTCCGATCTAATCACGAATTCGTCACAGAGTTCATCTATGTCTACACTGTCCAAAATAATTGTTTGATGCAGATTGCTACTTTTGCGCTTCGCGCTTAACCTTTAGCTCATTGCTTTTTAACGCTGCGCCTTTACATTTGGCGCACTGCATTTCTATGATGCTGTTGATTGAATAAATTGAATAAATTCATAAATTCCTGATGAAGCCGTATGAGCGAGAATTCAATTTATTCTTGTCTCATATACAGTTGTCTCATTTACTTCGTATATATATATATATATATATATATGTATTATGAAAATGAGATAGCAAAATGTGTATATTGTTGGTCATCTTGCGAGTAATAACCATTAACTACTCTCATCGGGCTCTCATTAATTTTTCTCTTCATTTTTTTTGATAGTGAATTATTGGGGGGGGGGGGGGGTGATTGTACAGGCCACCCCCCCCCCCCCATCTGAAATATTGGGGGGGGGGGATACATCCCCCATCCCCCGGGATCGACACCCATGTTTGTGTTTATTTTTAAAACCACCTGTACTATTTCTACAGGTTTGGAAAAATAATGTTACCAGGTAGTGGAATTTTTATTCATATTAAGCATGATCACGGGCCTGCATGTCAGATATGGACTTATTTCTCTACAAAAAAACAAGCACTTGTTAAATAACATTTAAAAATCCAATTTTCAATGGGCAAGTTTCATCATTTCACCCCAAATTGTAATGCATAATAATGCTTGCTTGGAAATCACATATATTCAAATGGTAATGATAATGATAATGATAAATAGTAAGGAAAAACTACAATATCTGTATATTTAATCGTTTTAATGAATTATGAGGAGAAATACAATGTATTTGGTATCTTTCCATATCGGCTATATTCAAATGTGTGTACCATTGAAAGGTGATTAGTATTAAATGCATTATTACCATGTAAAAAGAAAAAACAAACAAATACTATTACCCCGATCATTGGATTCAATACTCGCCCGCACAGAACTGTGCACACAATCTCCACTCCCTGAGGAGCATTCCATGGAGCATTTCTTGATCATATTTATTGTTGGGATATTGTTGCTGTTTCAATCAAACACATGGATTACTTCCTGCCGTGAATACTTCATTTGTATTCAATCTGAAAATATATGCGAACATGTTTCCGTTTCTACTTGGTACACTGTAGTATGAACCTAAATTGTCTGTAGCCAGCGTTAACATAATTTTTTTTAAAATAAAAAGTGCGCCATGCAGCAACGTACATGACAACTCTCGAAGTTTCGTAATTAAAGATGAAAACTGTAGTCACAAAAAGATATCTTAACTTTTAACTTTATTGTTAAATTGGAGTTCTTGATCATATTAATTCTTGTCTAGAAATATACATACAATGATTCATTAACATTTTTATTACGCTAATACTATGACAACGGTCTTACTTTTGCATCATCAACTACATGATTTGACTTGTAAATATTTTTTAATACAAACTTTACAAAAATCATTTTAGCATTGATGCACAAAAAAAGAAATCGTTATCAAAAAGAAAGGATTATTTTTATTTTCTCCACAATTCTAACAACTGTCAATATCTTGCCACACCAACAAATTATGCACATAAAAAGGTGGTAGACCTACATTGAAATTACAACGGAATATAAATCTTCCACCAACACCAACCAATCTAAACATAATAGGTAAAACAAACTATTGAGCCAATGTTTTTTTCTTCTTCTTCTTCTCCTTCTCCTTTTCTGCTTCATACACATTACTCTTTGAGCCTTTGGTGATCTAAAAAGTATTAAAATTTGAACTGTTCGTGAATTCACATCTTTAAAAAAAAAATGGTTTACATAAATTCCCATAAATAACATTTTTCTTCCTGATCACGTTCGCCCAAATCTCAATTACTAATAGTAAGTGGAGTACCCCAAAAATAAGAATACATCACAAATGTTTAATTTTGATTTTGTACGAAAGACCAATTAAATGCTTTATTTTGCTACCAACATTTTCAAATCGGTTTAGTGGTTCTTGAGGGAAAAAAACTAAAACAATATCGACTATTCACCGAAAAAACCTGCCATAAAAATGAGGAAAAAGTAAGGTAAAAATTACCTTTGTCTAATTTTACATGGCTATTTAGTATTGAAAACCTAAATCTTTGCATTTTCTGTAAGAAGGTTATAGTGCTTCAAAGTAAAGTTAGTTTCAATGACCAGACTGGTTGTATTTCAACACACGGAGTTGTCAAAAATGCCAATTTGTTCAACTTGACAGTTGACACATCTGCAGGTGCAGAAAATAATGTCCAGAATGTGACTAAAAGCCGTAATTAATATGTGCATACCTAACATCTGGACTTTGTAAATGTTCTTTTAAGCTGAAACTATACAAGAATGTTTATCTTGGAGACTATTTTGTATCTGCGCAAAACATTAGGTAATTTGTCATTAAATATGCAAATTAGCAACATGAAAATACACGTTTTCCGTAATATTTATATTTTTTCACGAAAGCCATTTGACCTGTCTGCCAATAATGTACGAGTACGGGACATCTAGTCAGTATATGTGTTAACGTTTTCAAATGACAGACACTTGAGATATTAGTGTTTCAGTCGATGGACTTCTAATACGAGCTTATGCATCGAAACTGTATTTAACTACTCAAATCTGGTATATTCTGGTATATTATTATTATTATTATTAATATTATTATTGTTATTATTATTATTATTATTATTATTATTATTAAAAAAAAGATGACTATTTAACGCCTCTTGAAGCATTCTCTGAAATTGAGTAGATTATTCATTTTGAGTTGACTTTGAATTTTGTAATGTATAGATCTCCCAAACGAAACAAAACTGCAATTTCAATATAATAGCACTGTACGTACATGAGAACGATCACAGCTAGCCTGTATTGTAAGGTCATCGATCTCCATTGAATGAAACATAATTATAAGGAAAGTCCATTTTTACGGCGCGTGTAGTAATTTTGTCTGTGGTGATACTACAACACATACAAGGCGCTGCACTGGAAAAAAAAAATCAGATTTAAAAATATATAAAAATCCTTATGACCTACGATTTGAAAATTCACAGATACCTGGCTAAAAGTATTAACTTACATTTTGTGTGAAAAAAACTAAGCCCGTACCAGCTTTCAAACCTATAATGCTTGAGTTGTAAATAGTCTAATTTTCAAGTTTGGCAGTGTACACAGTGTGAGGCAGGTAATCTGTGCGTGCACTAGCTGTCATCAGCCTACTAATAGAAATAAATAAGGCGACAGAGGATCACGTTGTTGCACCCTACGTTGGATTTGAAAGTATATCCTGTGAAAGACTCCCGTTCATATGAAGGCGATGCAGACGGATGCAGATTTTGTTTTCGACACACTTGAAACAGATTATGTATCTTTGATGAAATATTTAAATCTATATTTACCATTTTTATTAATGAATGATCTTCCAATTATATTAAATCAAAAGCAAAATTGAAATTTAAGTGAAATAAAGATGTAAGGAATTGTGCTTTGCATGAGGAAAGACGCATAATATCATAAGCCTAGCCAAAGAAATCATGTTCTGTTTAAAACTTTAAATCGAGTGAAAAATTGAAACAAAAAAAATTGTCAATAAACATCATGAAGCAATTCAAACACGGCTGGATTAAGGGAAGAGTACAATTCTAAAAATTAGTATCCGACAAATTAATTAATTCACATGTGGAGATAAACCGAACTGAGCTGAGCTGATGGTATTATCGATTAACCTAAGGTAGTCTATCACGGTACAGAGCGGGGTTGGGCTCTGTACAGTAACTTATAATGTTTTCTAAATTTCCCCCTTTTCTCTCTTATTTATTTCATAACAGATGAAGTAAGTATTCTTGAGTGGGCAGATTAACTCGGCCGGGTGGGGATATACCACTACCGCTAATTAGAGTGCGTACATTTTGCATTTAAAAGTGAAACGGACACACATAATACTCTCTCTGACTCTTTTCTGTATATGTCAATCTTTGTTTTTTCTTCTGTGCTGTATACTACTTTAAGGACGCAGATCGGATCACCTCAAAGCATTTTTGATAACTGTGTAATGCATACTATGTCCCTTTTGCAGCCAACCTCAAATTCTGTAGAAGTTTGCAGGAATTATGAATAATTATGTCGTGTATGTCCTATCTGTGAAATTTAAATTTAAATTTCAATTCAATTCAATTCAGAACTTTATTTCAGACTCATGCAGCTGCACAAGGCAGTGGTCCATAAAACATATGTTACATATAGATAGGGAAAATATAGCGGAGTATGAACATGATGAGTGTGACAACAACAAATCGTACAAATACTAAAGAATATAACAAACTAAAACTATATTGTTAGCAGTGTCCTAATATTCAAATTATGCTAGGTAACCTGTTTACTTGTTAGACTTAACTGTCAGACACTATTGAGTGACTGACTGGCTTTTCTTCTTCTTTGGTAATAACATACAAAATGAGCTGTAAAGGGTACATGAGCATTTGTCTACATCAATAACCCAATTATTGTGATGGCCAAAATTAAACTAATTGAATCTTAGCGCAGCATAAAACGTATGACCATATGGTACAATGGTCTGAAAATTAAGACTATTACTTATTGGCTCTATAGCTCCTAATTATAAGTCGATTTGACAACCATTGTCGTTATTTTCCCACTTGAAGACAAGCGCGTAGCCAGGATTTCATTTTAGGGGGGGCGGTAGTGAGCACGCGAAGCGTGCGAATCACTTTAAGAGCGCGCGAAGCGCGCTCCCTAGGGGGGTGGGTGCAGGGAGGGGGGAGTTTCCCCCCTCCCGCGCGAAGCGCGGAAGCTTTGAAAGAAGACGATTCGTTGTACCTTTCTCGACTCATAATCCTTGTCTGAATTCAGTCCCTCCCCTCTCTCGCGCGAAGCTTTGACGTTTCATTAAATTATTAGAGAAAGAAGACGATTCGTTGTACCTCTCTCGACTCTTAATCCTTATCTGTATTCAGTCCCTCCCCTCTCTCACGCGAAGTTTTGACGTTTCATTAAATTATTAGAGAAAGAAGACGATTCGTTATACCTTTCTCGACTCTTAATCCTTGTCTGAATTCTGTTTCCCCCCCCCCCTCCCTCTCGCGCGAAGCTTTGACGTTTCATTAAATTATTAGAGAAAGAAGACGATTCGTTGTACCTTTTCTGACTCATATTTCTTAATTTGAACTCAGTTTCCCCCTTCCCGCGCGAAGCGCGGAAACTTTGACGATTCATTGTACCGTTCTCGACTCCTTTTCCCTTTTTCTTCCTACGTCCTCTTTCTTTTTTTTCTTCTCTTTCTCTCTCTTTTTTTTTTGGCCGGCGTTTTGGGGGGGGGCGACCGCCCCCACCGCCCCCCCCTGGCTACGCGCCTGCTTGAAGACATTTTCAAGCCCCACCCGTTGAATTTAACCTTTTCATTTGTTTGGCCTGCAAGTGGGACATAGGGTCTAGTACCTTTAAGAACAACGACGACGACGCGCCGAACTTGTGAACCTGAAAAGTACCTTTTTTTTTTTTTTGCCGAAAAAGACACCCTTTCAACGTTTTTTCTGAACGCGGTACGTGCGTAGCAGGCCAGTCGAATGTTGGGAGTGGCTGCGTGGAACCCGGAACAACCGACACCTTAATAATGGTAATCTAGCTGGCTAGGCTTTTCCTTCATTAACCAGTTTTATTAAGTGAACGTTCGATTGCTGTGGACTTTAAAAACAGAGACGGCCAAAGACACATTCATTTGATTGCGAGTGGACGAAATAACGACATGGATTTCAAATCCATCTCACGGCGTTTGCCATTGTTGGCCTCCGTATTATTGGGTAAGTTGTTCCGGATGAGCTGAGCTGCGCCGCCACCATCAACGCGATGAGCATGGCCAAGGCGCGGTTAAGTTGTTCCGGATGAGCTGAGCTGCGCCGCCACCATCAACGCGATGAGCATGGCCAAGGCGCGGTTTGTTCCTGGGGGACACAGCAGGTTCTTGCGGGGGTTCTTGAGACATGAAATGTTGTAAAAGTTAGTTACAATTTCTAGGGGGGCGATCGACCTTTGCAATATGGTGCTGGAAAAAATGAGAGAAAAGAGAGAAAAAATGAGAGAAAAGAGAGAAAAAAGAAAAAGTAAAACGAATGGAATAAGATAAAGAATAAATGAATGCCGGGAAGAAATAAAGGATATGGGGAAAATGAAAACCAAGGAAAAGAAACTACATACTATAGGGAAAAGAGAAACAGGTGAAAATGTGTTCAAATAAATAAATAAATATAATTATGAAGAAAAATAGAGAATGAAAGAAAAAGGGAAAGGAGCAAGATAACATTGATACCCATGTCTTCAATTTTGGTTTCTTATTTCCCTTATTTTTTTTCTAATCTTAAAATTTCTCTTCGGTTTCTTCCTTTTAAAAGGAGGGAGGGGGGCGTGGTCGATAGTTATTCGATATTTGAAGGTCTACAAAAACATTCCAACAAGGGTTATTACACCCGCTAAATTATTTCATCTAGGGCTATACTGCAAGAATCCGAACGCCCACAGATCCCTAGGCCTCGTGATGCAGGCGCGGATCAAGGATTTCTTAGGGGTGAGGGTCCAATTTTTTTTCATTTTGCTCCCGATAATTTGAAACTCGCGTCGGCCGAAAATGCGCTCAGTTGGGGGGGTAGTGAGCACATTTTTTTTTTTTTTGCTCCCAAAAATTCACTGTTGGGGGGTTGGGGGGTTGGGGGAGGGGGGTAGTGAGCATATTTTTTTTGGCCCTAAAAAATGTACACCCCCCTCTTGAGCGCCAGGGGGGGGGGGGTCCCAACTCCCAAAAAAGGTCAATTTAACTGTAAATTTTTACACATTTTTTTTTCCAGGGGATCCGCCACTGTCGTGATGATATTAAACAAAGAGAAGAAACTAGTACAGTAGCCTAACGGGAGAATGGAAAAACATTTGTGACAATTAAATCGATCAATATATCAACTTTTTCTTTTATGCTTTCATTTTTCATCCATTCATTCATGCTTTCATTCACGCATCAATCTTTAACAAAAATATTAGGCGGGCATGCAAGCATTTAAAAAAAAAATATTGACCGGTAAGCGGGCATGGCTAAAATCAGGACTTCAATTTCGACCAATCAGATGACTAGATTTATTCAACATACTAAAGAGAGTGTTAACTATACATCTATGTAATGTAAAAGAGTTGTATGGAATATTATGCCCTTCTTGCACTCAGCAGACGATATAATTTACATGTCATATGTTTGTTACTGGTAGATGGTCTTGAATAGCATTCAAAATATTTGGATAAAATCCAAGATATTGTCTTTAAAAAAGATACCAGTATTTGGAAAAGGTATATATATATATATATACTAAACTAGAATGATATTGACATTGTTGTACATACATGCCCACCAGTGTATGGCCAGCAGTACGTGCCAATGCAATATTTTCAAAATCATAGAAGTATTATATGGCTCCATTGTAAGTGCAGAATTTGCAGAATTTTTATTGAGCGGCCCATTGTGTACTGTACTGACGTAATTCATTCATATGAGGGTCGATCATGCCCAACTTGATTTTAATAAATCAACCTTTCTGACTAATGTTTATTAACTGTTTTCACTGTTAAGAGTAGAATCGTATCGGAGTGTGTGTTTTTGTTTGTATATACATGTAGGTTTATTCAAATGAAAATATCAGCAGCGTACATGCATGTACAGTTATTTGTGTAAGATTTTATGAGTCCACTTTTTGGCTAAAGAAATGATATTTTGACTGTAAAATCTTTACATATATTTTTTTGTCTTTATTCTCATCTATACCATAGGGCTGGTGCTTCATACAGTCTTATCACAGACTGAAGGACCACAGAGCCTAGTCTTCTTCAACGGAACAGCCACCGTTGAAACCAACACAATATTTTCTGCTCAAGGACAGATAACGTTACAATTCAGGACTTGCACTGGCGGCGAGCTTTTCTCGCAGACTAATGGTGATCAGACCATCGCAGTGAGCATAAACGAAACAGGCTCCATCCGCATCCGCTGGAACAGTGGTTCGGGCACGAAAGAGACTGCTGTAGGTGAAGGGTTCAACGACAACCTGTGGACGATTATTGATTTTGTGTACGTTGGAAATTCTTTGGTGCTGAGGGTACGGGATGAGGCCATCGAGCTGGCGACGTTCATTAAGAACCCAACGCTTCTGGATCTGGCTTTGTCTCCGGTGATGGTCCTTGGAACGGGCTTTACAGGATGCATGGAGGAGATAGTGGGGATCGATTTTGCCAACGCAGTGTCCTGGTCGAACGCGAGATGGGGAGTCTGCCCTCTTGATCAAGACATCGGATGTGGTAAGTGCCAGAGCACCAGTTTGGTTCAAAACCTATAGGTATACTGATAGAATAAAAACCAAATGGACAAATTCAAAATTGTGTTAACGATCACCATTTGCAGCAAGAAACTTTTACAGATTGAAAAAGAAAAAAGATTTTTTGGGTTAAAAAACCACTCATGAAGTTTTGTGGCAAGACCCCCCCCCCCCAAAAAAAAAAAAAAAAAAGATATAGGAATGTGCTGCGTTTGACTTATAATAGAATGAAATTTGCTTCCAAACTTTCAAGGACCTCAAGACCGCCCTTGTGCCATTCAGCCGTGTCTTAACAATGGTGTATGCAGCAGTGATGGTATCGGATTCACCTGCCAGTGCACTTCAAGATACAGCGGCACCACCTGTGAAAATGATCTAGGTAAGTCACCATGCTGTCCAAAGAACCTCTTGTATTTTGAGAGACTGCTGAATCCGAAAGACTGACTTGTACAGTGTGCTTGCTGAGGATTAGCTTATACCTGACTCAGTCACTGTACAAGGTACATCGTATGAACTGTCCAGTCTGAAGACTTCATTAACTTTAATACATGGACATGCACGCCCTGTACTGTATCTCCAGACATTCTTGACCATTGGTGTGGGCAAGTCCAAGATATTTGGTCATTTGTTCCGTGCATCACCGAGTATTGTAGAGTTCTGAACATAAATAGACTTTAAATGTGTCTTTTCACTTCGTATTTGGAGGTGTCGTGGTCTAGTGGATCGGTATGTCACCGGACTGTTGATCACAAGGTTAGCAGTTCGAGTCCTGCGGCAGCTAGCACTAATGTCCTTTGGCAATTAGACATTAATCTACACATTTGCCACACTCCACCCAGCGGTGGTAAATGGGTACCTGGCAGGAATTAATTCCTTGAAATGCTAGAGTGTCATAATGGCAGCCATGCCAAAGCCGGCCAGGTATATAATTTTGAAGCGTCAGGAGTTTCAAATCTGACAGATATGAGCGCTATATAATCCCACTATTATTAGAAGTATCATTATTTTATCTGATGAAGCTTTAATAGGGCTTTTAACTTAATACAATGATCAGGTATGCTGAACTCTGAGATGTAGTCTGTGATGTGTGATTTTATTTATGCTGATTATTAAGCATTAATTGGCCTAAAAGAGTTTATTTAGAAATCACTAAATAGAGCCTGTGCTTGTAGAATTATATCAGGTTGTCCGTCCGTCCGATGGACAGATTACCATCAAACGCAGGACATGCATGTATCTTGCTGAGCCAATGAACTGATTAGATTTTAGGGTCATGAGGCCAAAGGTCATGGGGCTCATTATATATGCAAAAATAGCTTGTGATCGCATTATTATTAAAACGATAATTTATTGTCATGTAAAAATACATAAAATTTGCCTTCTGACATTTAAAGGTGCTATACATGTACATACATATATAAATATTTAAATACATTCAAAATAATTACATTTTACCATAACATTCACTATCATCACAATTTTAAGAAGGTTGCGCATGCATTAAAAGAATAAGATAAAACTGAGAAAAAGGCAGTGCAGTTTAAAAAGCTTGTTTTGTTTTGTTATTGATCTCGTCCATCCAGGCACTTCCACGCTGGAACACGTACCTCTCCAGCTATCACGCATCAACACACATACACACACCCCTACACCCACACACCGCTTACACACGCACAATATACCCGTACACGCCCTGCACATACACGGACACTGTAATCAACATGAGAAGTGCTCCGGCATAGAAATGCCTGGATGGAGATGATAGACAATAAATTATCTGAGTATAAAATAGCTATTACGCAAAGGCAACTTTGAAAGAAGAGAGAAGAGAAAGGAAGAAAGAGAGAAGAGAAAGGAAGAAAGAGAGAAGAAGAAGAGACATTCATGCTCATTACAAATTACTATTAAAGCTGGGGTGTACATGGAGGGCAGTGTAATGCATTTGCGATGACAGATGAGTTATTTGTTATTGTTTTGTTTCCTTTTTCTTTAAAAAATATTATATATTCAGTATATGATAACAAAACCAAATCATTTTATTGCAGAATTTAAATATTTGTGTTCATTATCAAAAGAAAACCTAAACACTGCTATGCATTGGAAATAACAGTGAGCACAGCTCATCTGTTAAATTCACTGTTGAAAGCTTTGCATGCTGCAATAAAAAATGACTGCATGTCTATCTCTTAGTCCTCTTTTTTGGCAATCTATAATCCTATCAGATCTGTTTACAAACACCTCATCATGGAGTGGGTGCGATTCATCTTTCATTATGATATCAAGCATGGTCAAGAGGGCTCATTGTACAATGTCTTCTAATTGTTGCATGGGTATTCCAATAATTCTACTGGCTTGTGATACAACCCTTGTCAGTTTAGACTTATTTTCCCCTGTTAAACCACTGAACCAAGCTACTGAAGAGGAACTAGACAGACTGGACAACACTTTGATAAAAGAGAGCAAGTGTTCAACTCCTAACGTTAAATGATCTGAGTTTTCTAAGGAAATACAATCGCTGGTTTCCTTTTGACTGAATTTTCTTAGTATTTTCGTCCCTTTTCAGATTGTCATCTACAATTGCTCCAAGATTTATATACTCTGACACTTCTCCAATGGAAATCTCCTCATGTTCCCCTATTCCAGTTTTACGAAAGTCAAAAGTCATCTCTTTGGTTTTGCTAGTGTTCAGAAACAGTGATGTCTGTTTACACCACTCCATAAACTTATCAACACCCTCCGATGGACGGATTACCATCAAACTTGAGACATGTACATGTATGTATGTGTCTTGCAAAGCCAATGAACTGATTAGATTTTGGGTCATGAGGTCAAAGATAAAAAGGTCATACATGTATATGAAAAATTGCTTGTAATCATGATATTCTGAGAACCTGTTAATGGATTACAATTAAAGTTGAATTCAAAAAATTGCTTCAGTTTTGGTTTGTGAAATCACTCTATGGCGCAGTCGAAGTAATAATTAACTCCTTCTGTGCAGTGTGTAGCCAATCTTGCTGTAGACCTTGACTCACAAAGTCAAACAGTGTGTTTGAACTAAGAATGTTTAACTTTTGTCTATTATTCTGAAACAGAAGTGGCAATACTTTCTGATTATTACCCGGCTTTAGCATGGCTGCCATTATGGTGCTCTAGCATTTTAAGGAATTAATTCCTGCCAGGTACCCATTTACATCACCTGGGTTGAGTGTGGCAAATTTAGATCAATGTCTTGCCAAAGGTCATTAGTCCCGCGGCGGGACAATCATTTAGCAACTCATGCAGGAAAAGTTAACATCTTGATATTTGATTTAATAAATAAATTGCTTTTAAATTCCAGTCATTGTCACCAGAAACTTGGTGGCCTTGGGTTAGTGATCATTGATTAAAGTCATGCCAGTGGATAATCAGAATCCTAATCCTAATCATGCCTTGCCTTACTGGAAAAAATCTATTTCTTCCTATCCAACTTTTATGTCATAATTGAAGATAATTTTGAAGGTAATTTTTGTCGCTTCCTTTAATTACCAGTCGTACGGATACACTCAAGTTACTGAATTAATTTCTACTTTGCCAACCCGCTAGAATCTTAAGTTCTTGCATTGTTCCCCAGCATTTTTGTTAAAAGTTGTTTACAAATGCGTAGTGAAAATACTGACTTTAAACACAATCTTTGGTAAATATAAAGTTTGTCAAACACAAGAATATAGAGCAACATGATGTACAATTTTGCATGTGGACATTAAGGCTGTAATGGTGTGCTGGGGCACTCTATAAACACAATACACGCACCCCCGGTCCAGTGAGTAAACCATTCAAATACAGTACATTACTGTCTTCTTGTTTGTAACAATTAATTGCATTATTTCATTTTTCTGCCAAAGGTGGTGATGCCACTCCTCCAGTTTTGTCCGGTTGCCCAGGAACAATAGCTCTGCAGGTGCCTGATGGTACCCCGTCAGCTGTTGCAACTTGGACACCACCGACAGCCACAGATAGTCAGGGCACGGCCAGTGTCCTCTCCAATGGAAACAACCCTGGAAGTTCTTATCCAGTAGGCTCTACCACCGTGATATATACAGCCAAAGATGAAGCTGGCCTGCAGTCTAAATGTGCCTTTAACATCCTTGTTACCTCCGGAGGAGGTAACCCCACTACTTTCTATGCTTGTGTTCAAACATTGTAACATGTATGGGGTAATTAACAGCTGTATTAAGGGGTTAGGAGCTGTATAGATGTTTTTTTATTTAAAGACCGTCAATACTACTGGGCCAGAAGGGATTAGACCACACAGCAAGGTCACTGACAGGTGGCTATCTCATTAACTCAGCTCTCAACTAACTTAAAAAAAGAGGATCATGGGGACAAACAGGCACTGATTGGGGAAGTTTTCTATATAGAGGGAGCAAGTAGCTTCAAGTAGGACAGTGGGGCTTTAAAACTGCTAGACTACGTCTTGAGCACAGTAAAGAATTGGCTCTGGCTGTGTTATGATATGATATCATGATAGTATTAAAGTAATAAATCAAAATGGACTTATTTACCTAGGGTAGAGACATCAGTATTAATACTGCTCTTCCTGTGGTCCCTGCAATTATGGTGGACAGGTACCACTTTGATGCACCTGAGTCTACAAGGATAAATATGGGCAAAACACCTTGTCCATCAAAGATGTAAGCACTGAAACCAGACCCTCTTGTTTTAATAATTTAGAGCCTTCACCAATATACCACAGTGGTCCTACTTGTAACCATCATTGTATGGATCATTTTCAGTTACATTTACAATGTATTTGTACCATTGCTGTTGTGTTTCTAGCATCTGTGATTAACATAGTGACAACAAGAAAAATTAGAATATGTAATGGGTATGTTGCTCAGTTTTTATTGTTTGGATTAAAGTAGCCAACACTCTGGGATATTGTAGATTTAGCTCTACTATAAGTAGTAACTCAAATATGTTAGGTAATTTATCTCATGCAATTATTATATGTAACAGTACTTGAGTGATTTTTAACTCATTTTCAACTTTTTTTGACCCATTCCAGTGGTTGCATTATATATATTTTTTTCTCTTTTTTTAATAATTTGTTATATTTTTTTAAAATTATCGAATGGAATGATGATCATGATGAAGATGATGATGATATTAATAATGACAATGATAATGATGATGATAAAATTAGAATACTATTAATAATAAAAATAACAATACTGAACAGTGATAATAATAATAATGATATTAATGATGATGATAATAATAATAATAATATTAATAATAATATTGATAATAATATTGATAATGATATTAATAATAATGGTAATAAAAATAATGATGATAATGATATCTTTGATGTATCTCTCATTGTTACAGGGGGAGCTGTGGTGGATGGCATTCCACCGGTGTTATATAATTGCACCTATGCAGTCTTTGGTCAATTAATTAATAATAGTGAATTGGTCTCTGTATCATGGGAGTTACCCTCTGCTACTGATGACGGAGTTGTGATAGATTTCACCATTGGATTAACGTTCACAAGTGCTTTTTTCCCAGAGGGTAGAACTGGACCTTTTAGTTGGAGGTTTAGTGACGCTGCAGGAAATGAAGTCACTTGTGAGCTGTACATTTTTGCTGCAGGTAAAGATGTTTTGAATGTCAATAATAATAATTATAATAATAATAGCGAAAACTTATAGAGTGCACACACCGTCCCGGAAAAACAACCACAAAAGATAATTACCACCCCCCCCTCCTCCCCAAGGACAATTACCCCCTCAAGGACAATTACCACTTAGGGCAATTACTCCCCTGAGGACAATTGCCCCCCCCAGGACAGATGTGACGATCTGACACATTGGTAGGAGGTGTAAAGGCTACTAGCTATCCCATGCATGGACCCACATTCCTTCAAAAACTTGCACATTATCTGCCTCTCTACTACACATTTCTCTTATCTATGATTTATGCAACACCTGGCTTTTGCTGTTCTCACAAAGCTAAGTACTTCTGGTTTCAACTTTGACAACTATTTCAAATTTCATTATGCTCAAGACTTTCACAAACTTGTTTTTCAATTTGTCCTGCTTTTATCAAAACCAACATGTTATCAAGGTGCACCTCCCCTTTATTGACCAGGAGGTAATTTTCCGGGGGGGGGGGGGGGGGGGGGGGGCAGTTGTCCGTCGGGGGGGGGGGGGTAGTTGTCCTTGAGAGTAATTGTCCGCAGGTTAATTTTCTTACTGGTAATTGGCCAGGGGCGTCATTGTCCTAGAACTGGAATTTTGTTGTAGAGTCTGTCTCAAGATACCTACGGAACGGTAAGGTTTAAACCATAAGGGTTATTCTAGTGGTAAAAAAAGTGATATTTGTTAGTTTTCATCCCGTTCAGAATGAAATGCTCACTTGTTGTTGGTGATGACCTCTCAACAACAAATGATTTTGGGGAGTAAAAAGCTCAGATTAGAATTAGTATCCTTGAATGAATTTTGCAGTTGCTCGCACGGACACCACTCCTCCAAGTGTGACCTCCTGCCCAGGCGATGTAACTGCAGCTTCTTCCGATGGCTTGCCAGTTCCTGTCACATGGACAGAGCCCACGGCTTCTGATGGACAAACTGCAGTATTGACCATTTCATCTACTCGTAATACGGGAGATTCATTTGGCGTTGGAACAACTCCAGTGAGATACATCTTCATTGATGATCAGGCAAACACTGCCAACTGTGATTTCAATGTCATTGTGACCGTTGGTGGTGCGTATTAAAGTCTTCCAAATTTTACTTTAGTTCTCAGTGTAGGCAGGGTTTACAGCACCATCTGTGGCAATATGAAGCATGAGGGATCGAGTTCATTAAAAATAATCTAAGGGCAAATTCTCCTGAACGAAGTTTCTCAAAAACTATAAAATTTGTTAACCCCCACCCCCACCCAAAAAAATTACCCAGCCCCCCAGATGTTGTGATACTATTGTTCACTACATTCGGACCAAGAGTGATAAATGACTTGCTTTAATAGATACATCAGTACAGTTCATGACCAATGTTCAGATACCTACTGTGATGTAAAGATATGCAAAAGAAGAAATCCACTATAGAATTTGATTAATATACAAATCTTTCTTGAAATACTGCAACTAAGGTACTCTGAAATGTAAAAGCAAGTTAGATTCATTAGAAATGTTAACCTCTTGTGCAGCAGCAGAACTGATTAGTGTGCATCAGCTATTTATTGGCAAAGACAAGGTATTTTGTCCCATATAACGACCAACATTGTATATTTGAAATCTATATTCAGTTAAAAGCCCTACAATTAATTGCTTGAACCAAACCAAATATCGAGAAAAATAATAGATTCAAGTTTTATTACATCCTTAATTTCATGAAACTTGGCAATGTATGGGACAAAGAATGACCAAATACCTTGGACTTGTCCTATTATACATTGTATGATGAATGGGTAGTACTGCTTGGGGGAAGGCAGTCTTTATCCAATCATGTTTGTATGATATCAACCATCAGTGAAAGATGTCAGCAATGTTCAAAAAATATTGAGTTAATTGCTCAATCATACTCGAGCTTTGATCATTCTGTAAACGAGCTGTTTGCGAGAACTGTAGCCTTAAAGTTGAACCCTTGTGCAGCCATGCAGATTCAGATCAGCTGCAGAATGTTTCACCAGGCATCAGTATAACGTAGACACATTTAGGGTTAAGGTTACAGTTACGATAAAGGGTCAGGACCAGAGTCAGGGTTATACAGTCAAGGTCAGAGTTAGGGTAAGGACCAGAGTCGGGGGTTATAGTCAAGGTCAGAGTTATATAGGGTTAGGTATAGGCCTAGTTCGGACCAGAGTCAGGATTGCAGTCAAGGTCAGAGTTATATAGGGTTAGGTATAGGCCTAGTTCGGACCAGAGTCAGTGTTGCAGTCAAGGTCAGAGTTAGCTAGGTAAGGTATAGGCCTAGTTAGGACCAGATCAGGGTTGCAGTCAAGGTCAGAGCTAGGGTTAGGTATAGGCCTAGTTAGGACCAGAGTCAGGGTTGCAGTCAAGGTCAGAGCTAGGGTTAGGTATAGGCCTAGTTAGGACCAGAGTCAGGTGTACAGTCAAGGTCAGAGTTTGGGCTAGGACCAGAGTCACTGCAGAACTACCAAGTGTCACGCATTAGGCGTGACATCACACATTTCAAGGGTCTGAAAACGGCTCTCACGCACGGCGCGCACGCTAGATTAAAAAAACCGCCATACCTATACGTGTGTTATACCCTCACACGCGCGCTTGCGCGCCAAAAAATGAAAATGTCACGCATTGCCGATCTTTTACCTTGGCGTCTCGGGGTCAGGGTAACAGTCAAGGTCAGAGTAAGGGCTGGGACCAGAGTCTGGGTTACAGTCAAGGTCAGAGTTAGGGTATAGGACTAGTCCTATAGTTAGGACCAGAGTCAGGTTTACAGTTAAGGTCAGAGTTAGGGCTAGGACCAGAGTCAGGGTTACAGTTAAGGTCAGAGTTAGGGTTAGGATTAGAGTTAGGGTGAATGTTGGGTCCTAGGGTCAGGTTAGGGTTTATGGTTTATTAAGCTTTCCTCAAAATCCATACTACATTCGATCGAGTTCTTAAGATTTTTGTCTCATATCATTCATATTCATTGTTCATTTGTCCACTTTTTTCTTTCTTCAGCTGTTGATACCAACCCCCCAGTGATCACTGGATGCCCATCAACGATTGTTCTGTCAGCTCCAGCAGGAGCAACATCTGCTACAGCCACATGGATACCACCAGAAGCATCCGATGCCGAAACGTCCGCCGAAACGTCTGTGACAATCATCAGTGATGCAAACCCTGGTATATCTGTGCCAGTGGGAGGAAACCGCTTAGTCACTTACACAGCCAGTGACGTCAATGGCCTCCAAGCAATCTGCTCTTTCAATATAATCGTGTCAGGTACTATTACCCTCCTGGAGGTGCATGGGTCCTCAGAAACAGTTTCTTTTCTTCAGGATGAAACCAATAAAGCAATGATGTTTTGGGAAATTATGCTGAAAATCAGCCAGATTGAAGATATAATTTTGTATTATGGATGCAAGAAACTATATTTTATTGGATCATGTTTTGTTTTGTTTTGGGCAGAATGAATACTATCAAAACATTGAGGATGACTCGATTGGATACATGTTAACATGCATTATCTACACCAGTACTTATTCAACACCCTATGGTACATAGGAATTAAATGTACAACATTCATGTATCCCATTATTAAAAAAAATCCTTTACAGAAGTTCAATATTTTTTTTTTCTTTCAATATACATGTATAGTATTCTCTCTCTCTCTCTCTCTCTCACACAACACACACTCTCTCACACACACACACTCACACACCCATTCTGTTTTTCAATGTTTTTATCATAATCAAGGAACTGTTGGAAACCAGGCACCGCAGCTTTTCAATTGTCCAGCATCTGCTTCTGGAGTTTTAATTCCACCAGCAAACTCAGTTGCTGTTTTCTGGACACCACCCACTGCAACCGATGATTCTGGCACACCAGCAATAACAAGTACTTTCCAACCTGGCAGTCAGTTTTTTGTTGGTGTAACTCCTGTTACGTACACAGCAAGGGATGCAGCTGGGCTGGCAACTAGCTGTTCCTTCCAGGTCACAGTTACACAAGGTTTGTATAGACCATGATTGTTATGTATTCAATATGTAAGCCAGCTATGATTTTGTCATTTTGTGACCCATTCTTTAACCCAATTCCTATAGAACCAGGTGGTCTCTTTATCAAGCCAACGGGAATAAAAGAACAGGAAATGGTTGAACCTAGAGCAATTCTCACCGCCTCGTCTGTTGACTTACAGACAGTCATTGTAAGGTAGTCTAACAACCCTCCTGGAGGTGCATGGGTCCTCAGAAACAGTTTCTTTTCTTCAGGATGAAACCAATAAAGCAATGATGTTTTGGGAAATTATGCTGAAAATCAGCCAGATTGAAGATATAATTTTGTATTATGGATGCAAGAAACTATATTTTATTGGATCATGTTTTGTTTTGTTTTGGGCAGAATGAATACTATCAAAACATTGAGGATGACTCGATTGGATACATGTTAACATGCATTATCTACACCAGTACTTATTCAACACCATATGGTACATAGGAATTAAATGTACAACATTCATGTATCCCATTATTAAAAAAATCCTTTGCAGAAGTTCAATATTTGTTTTTTCTCTCAATATACATGTATAGTATTCTCTCTCTCTCTCTCTCTCTCTCACACAACACACACTCTCTCACACACACACACTCACACACCCATTCTGTTTTTCAATGTTTTTATCATAATCAAGGAACTGTTGGAAACCAGGCACCGCAGCTTTTCAATTGTCCAGCATCTGCTTCTGGAGTTTTAATTCCACCAGCAAACTCAGTTGCTGTTTTCTGGACACCACCCACTGCAACCGATGATTCTGGCACACCAGCAATAACAAGTACTTTCCAACCTGGCAGTCAGTTTTTTGTTGGTGTAACTCCTGTTACGTACACAGCAAGGGATGCAGCTGGGCTGGCAACTAGCTGTTCCTTCCAGGTCACAGTTACACAAGGTTTGTATAGACCATGATTGTTATGTATTCAATATGTAAGCCAGCTATGATTTTGTCATTTTGTGACCCATTCTTTAACCCAATTCCTATAGAACCAGGTGGTCTCTTTATCAAGCCAACGGGAATAAAAGAACAGGAAATGGTTGAACCTAGAGCATGTCTCACCGCCTCGTCTGTTGACTTACAGACAGTCATTGTAAGGTAGTCTAACAACCCTCCTGGAGGTGCATGGGTCCTCAGAAACAGTTTCTTTTCTTCAGGATGAAACCAATAAAGCAATGATGTTTTGGGAAATTATGCTGAAAATTAGCCAGATTGAAGATAATTTTGTGTTATGGATGCAAGAAACTATTTTATTGATCATGTTTTGTTTTGATTTAGGCAGAATGAATACTATCAAAACATTGAGGATGACTCGATTGGATACATGTCAACATGCATTATATACACTAGGGCAGCGTTTCTCGAAACCGTCATAACTACAAGTTCACCGACATCCCATCGAAACGCGTGTTAAACTTAAAACACGCGTTTCAATGGGATGTCGGTGAACTTGTAGTTATGACGGTTTCGAGAAACGCTACCGGGTACTAATTGAACACCATATGGTACATGTACATAGGCATTAAGTGCACGACATTCATGTATCCCATTATTAAAAAAAATCCTTTGCAGAAGTTCATGTTCACATGAAATACATGTATAGTATTCTATCTCTCTCTCTCACACACACACACACACGCACACACACCTTTTCTCTTTTCAATGTTTTTATCATAATCAAGCTGTTGGAAACCAGGCACCGCAGCTTTTCAATTGTCCAGAATCTGCTTCTGGAGTTTCAATTCCACCAGCAAACTCAGTTGCTGTTTCCTGGACACCACCCACTGCAACCGATGATTCTGGCACACCAGTACTAACAAGTTCTTTTCAACCTGGCAGTCAGTTTTTTGTTGGTGTAACTCCTGTTACATACACAGCAAGGGATGCAGCTGGGCTGGCAACTAGCTGTTCCTTCCAGGTCACAGTTACACAAGGTTTGTATAGACCATGATTGTTATGTATTCAATATGTAAGCCAGCTATGATTTTGTCATTTTGTGACCCATTCTTTAACCCAATTCCTATAGAACCAGGTGGTCTCTTTATCAAGCCAACGGGAATAAAAGAACAGGAAATGGTTGAACCTAGAGCATGTCTCACCGCCTCGTCTGTTGACTTACAGACAGTCATTGTAAGGTAGTCTCACCATCACAATAAGGTACCATAACCCTCCTGGAGGTGCATGGGTCCTCAGAAACAGTTTCTTTTCTTCAGGATGAAACCAATAAAGCAATGATGTTTTGGGAAATTATGCTGAAAATTAGCCAGATTGAAGATAATTTTGTGTTATGGATGCAAGAAACTATTTTATTGATCATGTTTTGTTTTGATTTAGGCAGAATGAATACTATCAAAACATTGAGGATGACTCGATTGGATACATGTCAACATGCATTATATACACCAGGGCAGCGTTTCTCGAAACCGTCATAACTACAAGTTCACCGACATCCCATCGAAACGCGTGTTAAACTTAAAACACGCGTTTCAATGGGATGTCGGTGAACTTGTAGTTATGACGGTTTCGAGAAACGCTACCCGGTACTAATTGAACACCATATGGTACATGTACATAGGCATTAAGTGTACAACATTCATGTATCCCATTATTAAAAAAAATCCTTTGCAGAAGTTCATGTTCACATGAAATACATCTATAGTATTCTATCTCTCTCTCTCACACACACACACACACACACACACACCTTTTCTCTTTTCAATGTTTTTATCATAATCAAGCTGTTGGAAACCAGGCACCGCAGCTTTTCAATTGCCCAGCATCTGCTTCTGGAGTTTTAATTCCACCAGCAAACTCAGTTGCTGTTTCCTGGACACCACCCACTGCAACCGATGATTCTGGCACACCAGTACTAACAAGTACTATCCAACCTGGCAGTCAGTTTGTTGTTGGTGTTACTCCTGTTACGTACTCAGCAAGGGATGCAGCTGGGCTGGCAACTAGCTGTTCCTTCCAGGTCACAGTTACACAAGGTTTGTATAGACCATGATTGTTATGTATTCAATATGTAAGCCAGCTATGATTTTGTCATTTTGTGACCCATTCTTTAACCCAATTCCTATAGAACCAGGTGGTCTCTTTATCAAGCCAACGGGAATAAAAGAACAGGAAATGGTTGAACCTAGAGCATGTCTCACCGCCTCGTCTGTTGACTTACAGACAGTCATTGTAAGGTAGTCTCACCATCACAATAAGGTACCATAACCCTCCTGGAGGTGCATGGGTCCTCAGAAACAGTTTCTTTTCTTCAGGATGAAACCAATAAAGCAATGATGTTTTGGGAAATTATGCTGAAAATTAGCCAGATTGAAGATAATTTTGTGTTATGGATGCAAGAAACTATTTTATTGATCATGTTTTGTTTTGATTTAGGCAGAATGAATACTATCAAAACATTGAGGATGACTCGATTGGATACATGTCAACATGCATTATATACACCAGGGCAGCGTTTCTCGAAACCGTCATAACTACAAGTTCACCGACATCCCATCGAAACGCGTGTTAAACTTAAAACACGCGTTTCAATGGGATGTCGGTGAACTTGTAGTTATGACGGTTTCGAGAAACGCTACCCGGTACTAATTGAACACCATATGGTACATGTACATAGGCATTAAGTGTACAACATTCATGTATCCCATTATTAAAAAAAATCCTTTGCAGAAGTTCATGTTCACATGAAATACATCTATAGTATTCTATCTCTCTCTCTCACACACACACACACACACACACACACCTTTTCTCTTTTCAATGTTTTTATCATAATCAAGCTGTTGGAAACCAGGCACCGCAGCTTTTCAATTGCCCAGCATCTGCTTCTGGAGTTTTAATTCCACCAGCAAACTCAGTTGCTGTTTCCTGGACACCACCCACTGCAACCGATGATTCTGGCACACCAGTACTAACAAGTACTATCCAACCTGGCAGTCAGTTTGTTGTTGGTGTTACTCCTGTTACGTACTCAGCAAGGGATGCAGCTGGGCTGGCAACTAGCTGTTCCTTCCAGGTCACAGTTACACAAGGTTTGTATAGACCATGATTGTTATGTATTCAATATGTAAGCCAGCTATGATTTTGTCATTTTGTGACCCATTCTTTAACCCAATTCCTATAGAACCAGGTGGTCTCTTTATCAAGCCAACGGGAATAAAAGAACAGGAAATGGTTGAACCTAGAGCATGTCTCACCGCCTCGTCTGTTGACTTACAGACAGTCATTGTAAGGTAGTCTAACCATCACAATAAGGTACCATAACCCTCCTGGAGGTGCATGGGTCCTCAGAAACAGTTTCTTTTCTTCAGGATGAAACCAATAAAGCAATGATGTTTTGGGAAATTATGCTGAAAATTAGCCAGATTGAAGATAATTTTGTGTTATGGATGCAAGAAACTATTTTTGATCATGTTTTGTTTTGATTTAGGCAGAATGAATACTATCAAAACATTGAGGATGACTCGATTGGATACATGTCAACATGCATTATATACACTAGGGCAGCGTTTCTCGAAACCGTCATAACTACAAGTTCACCGACATCCCATCGAAACGCGTGTTAAACTTAAAACACGCGTTTCAATGGGATGTCGGTGAACTTGTAGTTATGACGGTTTCGAGAAACGCTACCGGGTACTAATTGAACACCATATGGTACATGTACATAGGCATTAAGTGCACGACATTCATGTATCCCATTATTAAAAAAAATCCTTTGCAGAAGTTCATGTTCACATGAAATACATGTATAGTATTCTATCTCTCTCACACACACACACACACACACACCTTTTCTCTTTTCAATGTTTTTATCATAATCAAGCTGTTGGAAACCAGGCACCGCAGCTTTTCAATTGTCCAGAATCTGCTTCTGGAGTTTCAATTCCACCAGCAAACTCAGTTGCTGTTTCCTGGACACCACCCACTGCAACCGATGATTCTGGCACACCAGTACTAACAAGTACTATCCAACCTGGCAGTCAGTTTGTTGTTGGTGTTACTCCTGTTACGTACTCAGCAAGGGATGCAGCTGGGCTGGCAACTAGCTGTTCCTTCCAGGTCACAGTTACACAAGGTTTGTATAGACCATGATTGTTATGTATTCAATATGTAAGCCAGCTATGATTTTGTCATTTTGTGACCCATTCTTTAACCCAATTCCTATAGAACCAGGTGGTCTCTTTATCAAGCCAACGGGAATAAAAGAACAGGAAATGGTTGAACCTAGAGCATGTCTCACCGCCTCGTCTGTTGACTTACAGACAGTCATTGTAAGGTAGTCTCACCATCACAATAAGGTACCATAACCCTCCTGGAGGTGCATGGGTCCTCAGAAACAGTTTCTTTTCTTCAGGATGAAACCAATAAAGCAATGATGTTTTGGGAAATTATGCTGAAAATTAGCCAGATTGAAGATAATTTTGTGTTATGGATGCAAGAAACTATTTTATTGATCATGTTTTGTTTTGATTTAGGCAGAATGAATACTATCAAAACATTGAGGATGACTCGATTGGATACATGTCAACATGCATTATATACACCAGGGCAGCGTTTCTCGAAACCGTCATAACTACAAGTTCACCGACATCCCATCGAAACGCGTGTTAAACTTAAAACACGCGTTTCAATGGGATGTCGGTGAACTTGTAGTTATGACGGTTTCGAGAAACGCTACCCGGTACTAATTGAACACCATATGGTACATGTACATAGGCATTAAGTGTACAACATTCATGTATCCCATTATTAAAAAAAATCCTTTGCAGAAGTTCATGTTCACATGAAATACATCTATAGTATTCTATCTCTCTCTCTCACACACACACACACACACACACACACCTTTTCTCTTTTCAATGTTTTTATCATAATCAAGCTGTTGGAAACCAGGCACCGCAGCTTTTCAATTGCCCAGCATCTGCTTCTGGAGTTTTAATTCCACCAGCAAACTCAGTTGCTGTTTCCTGGACACCACCCACTGCAACCGATGATTCTGGCACACCAGTACTAACAAGTACTATCCAACCTGGCAGTCAGTTTGTTGTTGGTGTTACTCCTGTTACGTACTCAGCAAGGGATGCAGCTGGGCTGGCAACTAGCTGTTCCTTCCAGGTCACAGTTACACAAGGTTTGTATAGACCATGATTGTTATGTATTCAATATGTAAGCCAGCTATGATTTTGTCATTTTGTGACCCATTCTTTAACCCAATTCCTATAGAACCAGGTGGTCTCTTTATCAAGCCAACGGGAATAAAAGAACAGGAAATGGTTGAACCTAGAGCATGTCTCACCGCCTCGTCTGTTGACTTACAGACAGTCATTGTAAGGTAGTCTAACCATCACAATAAGGTACCATAACCCTCCTGGAGGTGCATGGGTCCTCAGAAACAGTTTCTTTTCTTCAGGATGAAACCAATAAAGCAATGATGTTTTGGGAAATTATGCTGAAAATTAGCCAGATTGAAGATAATTTTGTGTTATGGATGCAAGAAACTATTTTTGATCATGTTTTGTTTTGATTTAGGCAGAATGAATACTATCAAAACATTGAGGATGACTCGATTGGATACATGTCAACATGCATTATATACACTAGGGCAGCGTTTCTCGAAACCGTCATAACTACAAGTTCACCGACATCCCATCGAAACGCGTGTTAAACTTAAAACACGCGTTTCAATGGGATGTCGGTGAACTTGTAGTTATGACGGTTTCGAGAAACGCTACCGGGTACTAATTGAACACCATATGGTACATGTACATAGGCATTAAGTGCACGACATTCATGTATCCCATTATTAAAAAAAATCCTTTGCAGAAGTTCATGTTCACATGAAATACATGTATAGTATTCTATCTCTCTCTCTCACACACACACACACACACACTTTTCTCTTTTCAATGTTTTTATCATAATCAAGCTGTTGGAAACCAGGCACCGCAGCTTTTCAATTGTCCAGAATCTGCTTCTGGAGTTTCAATTCCACCAGCAAACTCAGTTGCTGTTTCCTGGACACCACCCACTGCAACCGATGATTCTGGCACACCAGTACTAACAAGTTCTTTTCAACCTGGCAGTCAGTTTTTTGTTGGTGTAACTCCTGTTACGTACACAGCAAGGGATGCAGCTGGGCTGGCAACTAGCTGTTCCTTCCAGGTCACAGTTACACAAGGTTTGTATAGACCATGATTGTTATGTATTCAATATGTAAGCCAGCTATGATTTTGTCATTTTGTGACCCATTCTTTAACCCAATTCCTATAGAACCAGGTGGTCTCTTTATCAAGCCAACGGGAATAAAAGAACAGGAAATGGTTGAACCTAGAGCATGTCTCACCGCCTCGTCTGTTGACTTACAGACAGTCATTGTAAGGTAGTCTCACCATCACAATAAGGTACCATAACCCTCCTGGAGGTGCATGGGTCCTCAGAAACAGTTTCTTTTCTTCAGGATGAAACCAATAAAGCAATGATGTTTTGGGAAATTATGCTGAAAATTAGCCAGATTGAAGATAATTTTGTGTTATGGATGCAAGAAACTATTTTATTGATCATGTTTTGTTTTGATTTAGGCAGAATGAATACTATCAAAACATTGAGGATGACTCGATTGGATACATGTCAACATGCATTATATACACCAGGGCAGCGTTTCTCGAAACCGTCATAACTACAAGTTCACCGACATCCCATCGAAACGTGTGTTAAACTTAAAACACGCGTTTCAATGGGATGTCGGTGAACTTGTAGTTATGACGGTTTCGAGAAACGCTACCCGGTACTAATTGAACACCATATGGTACATGTACATAGGCATTAAGTGTACAACATTCATGTATCCCATTATTAAAAAAAATCCTTTGCAGAAGTTCATGTTCACATGAAATACATCTATAGTATTCTATCTCTCTCTCTCACACACACACACACACACACACACACCTTTTCTCTTTTCAATGTTTTTATCATAATCAAGCTGTTGGAAACCAGGCACCGCAGCTTTTCAATTGCCCAGCATCTGCTTCTGGAGTTTTAATTCCACCAGCAAACTCAGTTGCTGTTTCCTGGACACCACCCACTGCAACCGATGATTCTGGCACACCAGTACTAACAAGTACTATCCAACCTGGCAGTCAGTTTGTTGTTGGTGTTACTCCTGTTACGTACTCAGCAAGGGATGCAGCTGGGCTGGCAACTAGCTGTTCCTTCCAGGTCACAGTTACACAAGGTTTGTATAGACCATGATTGTTATGTATTCAATATGTAAGCCAGCTATGATTTTGTCATTTTGTGACCCATTCTTTAACCCAATTCCTATAGAACCAGGTGGTCTCTTTATCAAGCCAACGGGAATAAAAGAACAGGAAATGGTTGAACCTAGAGCATGTCTCACCGCCTCGTCTGTTGACTTACAGACAGTCATTGTAAGGTAGTCTCACCATCACAATAAGGTACCATAACCCTCCTGGAGGTGCATGGGTCCTCAGAAACAGTTTCTTTTCTTCAGGATGAAACCAATAAAGCAATGATGTTTTGGGAAATTATGCTGAAAATTAGCCAGATTGAAGATAATTTTGTGTTATGGATGCAAGAAACTATTTTATTGATCATGTTTTGTTTTGATTTAGGCAGAATGAATACTATCAAAACATTGAGGATGACTCGATTGGATACATGTCAACATGCATTATATACACCAGGGCAGCGTTTCTCGAAACCGTCATAACTACAAGTTCACCGACATCCCATCGAAACGCGTGTTAAACTTAAAACACGCGTTTCAATGGGATGTCGGTGAACTTGTAGTTATGACGGTTTCGAGAAACGCTACCCGGTACTAATTGAACACCATATGGTACATGTACATAGGCATTAAGTGTACAACATTCATGTATCCCATTATTAAAAAAAATCCTTTGCAGAAGTTCATGTTCACATGAAATACATCTATAGTATTCTATCTCTCTCTCTCACACACACACACACACACACACACACCTTTTCTCTTTTCAATGTTTTTATCATAATCAAGCTGTTGGAAACCAGGCACCGCAGCTTTTCAATTGCCCAGCATCTGCTTCTGGAGTTTTAATTCCACCAGCAAACTCAGTTGCTGTTTCCTGGACACCACCCACTGCAACCGATGATTCTGGCACACCAGTACTAACAAGTACTATCCAACCTGGCAGTCAGTTTGTTGTTGGTGTTACTCCTGTTACGTACTCAGCAAGGGATGCAGCTGGGCTGGCAACTAGCTGTTCCTTCCAGGTCACAGTTACACAAGGTTTGTATAGACCATGATTGTTATGTATTCAATATGTAAGCCAGCTATGATTTTGTCATTTTGTGACCCATTCTTTAACCCAATTCCTATAGAACCAGGTGGTCTCTTTATCAAGCCAACGGGAATAAAAGAACAGGAAATGGTTGAACCTAGAGCATGTCTCACCGCCTCGTCTGTTGACTTACAGACAGTCATTGTAAGGTAGTCTAACCATCACAATAAGGTACCATAACCCTCCTGGAGGTGCATGGGTCCTCAGAAACAGTTTCTTTTCTTCAGGATGAAACCAATAAAGCAATGATGTTTTGGGAAATTATGCTGAAAATTAGCCAGATTGAAGATAATTTTGTGTTATGGATGCAAGAAACTATTTTTGATCATGTTTTGTTTTGATTTAGGCAGAATGAATACTATCAAAACATTGAGGATGACTCGATTGGATACATGTCAACATGCATTATATACACTAGGGCAGCGTTTCTCGAAACCGTCATAACTACAAGTTCACCGACATCCCATCGAAACGCGTGTTAAACTTAAAACACGCGTTTCAATGGGATGTCGGTGAACTTGTAGTTATGACGGTTTCGAGAAACGCTACCGGGTACTAATTGAACACCATATGGTACATGTACATAGGCATTAAGTGCACGACATTCATGTATCCCATTATTAAAAAAAATCCTTTGCAGAAGTTCATGTTCACATGAAATACATGTATAGTATTCTATCTCTCTCTCTCACACACACACACACACACACTTTTCTCTTTTCAATGTTTTTATCATAATCAAGCTGTTGGAAACCAGGCACCGCAGCTTTTCAATTGTCCAGAATCTGCTTCTGGAGTTTCAATTCCACCAGCAAACTCAGTTGCTGTTTCCTGGACACCACCCACTGCAACCGATGATTCTGGCACACCAGTACTAACAAGTTCTTTTCAACCTGGCAGTCAGTTTTTTGTTGGTGTAACTCCTGTTACGTACACAGCAAGGGATGCAGCTGGGCTGGCAACTAGCTGTTCCTTCCAGGTCACAGTTACACAAGGTTTGTATAGACCATGATTGTTATGTATTCAATATGTAAGCCAGCTATGATTTTGTCATTTTGTGACCCATTCTTTAACCCAATTCCTATAGAACCAGGTGGTCTCTTTATCAAGCCAACGGGAATAAAAGAACAGGAAATGGTTGAACCTAGAGCATGTCTCACCGCCTCGTCTGTTGACTTACAGACAGTCATTGTAAGGTAGTCTCACCATCACAATAAGGTACCATAACCCTCCTGGAGGTGCATGGGTCCTCAGAAACAGTTTCTTTTCTTCAGGATGAAACCAATAAAGCAATGATGTTTTGGGAAATTATGCTGAAAATTAGCCAGATTGAAGATAATTTTGTGTTATGGATGCAAGAAACTATTTTATTGATCATGTTTTGTTTTGATTTAGGCAGAATGAATACTATCAAAACATTGAGGATGACTCGATTGGATACATGTCAACATGCATTATATACACCAGGGCAGCGTTTCTCGAAACCGTCATAACTACAAGTTCACCGACATCCCATCGAAACGTGTGTTAAACTTAAAACACGCGTTTCAATGGGATGTCGGTGAACTTGTAGTTATGACGGTTTCGAGAAACGCTACCCGGTACTAATTGAACACCATATGGTACATGTACATAGGCATTAAGTGTACAACATTCATGTATCCCATTATTAAAAAAAATCCTTTGCAGAAGTTCATGTTCACATGAAATACATCTATAGTATTCTATCTCTCTCTCTCACACACACACACACACACACACACACCTTTTCTCTTTTCAATGTTTTTATCATAATCAAGCTGTTGGAAACCAGGCACCGCAGCTTTTCAATTGTCCAGAATCTGCTTCTGGAGTTTCAATTCCACCAGCAAACTCAGTTGCTGTTTCCTGGACACCACCCACTGCAACCGATGATTCTGGCACACCAGTACTAACAAGTACTATCCAACCTGGCAGTCAGTTTGTTGTTGGTGTTACTCCTGTTACGTACTCAGCAAGGGATGCAGCTGGGCTGGCAACTAGCTGTTCCTTCCAGGTCACAGTTACACAAGGTTTGTATAGACCATGATTGTTATGTATTCAATATGTAAGCCAGCTATGATTTTGTCATTTTGTGACCCATTCTTTAACCCAATTCCTATAGAACCAGGTGGTCTCTTTATCAAGCCAACGGGAATAAAAGAACAGGAAATGGTTGAACCTAGAGCATGTCTCACCGCCTCGTCTGTTGACTTACAGACAGTCATTGTAAGGTAGTCTAACCATCACAATAAGGTACCATAACCCTCCTGGAGGTGCATGGGTCCTCAGAAACAGTTTCTTTTCTTCAGGATGAAACCAATAAAGCAATGATGTTTTGGGAAATTATGCTGAAAATTAGCCAGATTGAAGATAATTTTGTGTTATGGATGCAAGAAACTATTTTATTGATCATGTTTTGTTTTGATTTAGGCAGAATGAATACTATCAAAACATTGAGGATGACTCGATTGGATACATGTCAACATGCATTATATACACCAGGGCAGCGTTTCTCGAAACCGTCATAACTACAAGTTCACCGACATCCCATCGAAACGCGTGTTAAACTTAAAACACGCGTTTCAATGGGATGTCGGTGAACTTGTAGTTATGACGGTTTCGAGAAACGCTACCCGGTACTAATTGAACACCATATGGTACATGTACATAGGCATTAAGTGTACGACATTCATGTATCCCATTATTAAAAAAAATCCTTTGCAGAAGTTCATGTTCACATGAAATACATCTATAGTATTCTATCTCTCTCTCTCACACACACACACACACACACTTTTCTCTTTTCAATGTTTTTATCATAATCAAGCTGTTGGAAACCAGGCACCGCAGCTTTTCAATTGCCCAGCATCTGCTTCTGGAGTTTTAATTCCACCAGCAAACTCAGTTGCTGTTTCCTGGACACCACCCACTGCAACCGATGATTCTGGCACACCAGTACTAACAAGTACTTTCCAACCTGGCAGTCAGTTTGTTGTTGGTGTTACTCCTGTTACGTACTCAGCAAGGGATGCAGCTGGGCTGGCAACTAGCTGTTCCTTCCAGGTCACAGTTACACAAGGTTTGTATAGACCATGATTGTTATGTATTCAATATGTAAGCCAGCTATGATTTTGTCATTTTGTGACCCATTCTTTAACCCAATTCCTATAGAACCAGGTGGTCTCTTTATCAAGCCAACGGGAATAAAAGAACAGGAAATGGTTGAACCTAGAGCATGTCTCACCGCCTCGTCTGTTGACTTACAGACAGTCATTGTAAGGTAGTCTAACCATCACAATAAGGTACCATAACCCTCCTGGAGGTGCATGGGTCCTCAGAAACAGTTTCTTTTCTTCAGGATGAAACCAATAAAGCAATGATGTTTTGGGAAATTATGCTGAAAATTAGCCAGATTGAAGATAATTTTGTGTTATGGATGCAAGAAACTATTTTATTGATCATGTTTTGTTTTGATTTAGGCAGAATGAATACTATCAAAACATTGAGGATGACTCGATTGGATACATGTCAACATGCATTATATACACCAGGGCAGCGTTTCTCGAAACCGTCATAACTACAAGTTCACCGACATCCCATCGAAACGCGTGTTAAACTTAAAACACGCGTTTCAATGGGATGTCGGTGAACTTGTAGTTATGACGGTTTCGAGAAACGCTACCCGGTACTAATTGAACACCATATGGTACATGTACATAGGCATTAAGTGTACGACATTCATGTATCCCATTATTAAAAAAAATCCTTTGCAGAAGTTCATGTTCACATGAAATACATCTATAGTATTCTATCTCTCTCTCTCACACACACACACACACACACACACCCTTTTCTCTTTTCAATGTTTTTATCATAATCAAGCTGTTGGAAACCAGGCACCGCAGCTTTTCAATTGCCCAGCATCTGCTTCTGGAGTTTTAATTCCACCAGCAAACTCAGTTGCTGTTTCCTGGACACCACCCACTGCAACCGATGATTCTGGCACACCAGTACTAACAAGTACTATCCAACCTGGCAGTCAGTTTGTTGTTGGTGTTACTCCTGTTACGTACTCAGCAAGGGATGCAGCTGGGCTGGCAACTAGCTGTTCCTTCCAGGTCACAGTTACACAAGGTTTGTATAGACCATGATTGTTATGTATTCAATATGTAAGCCAGCTATGATTTTGTCATTTTGTGACCCATATTCTTTAACCCAATTCCTATAGAACCAGGTGGTCTCTTTATCAAGCCAACGGGAATAAAAGAACAGGAAATGGTTGAACCTAGAGCATGTCTCACCGCCTCGTCTGTTGACTTACAGACAGTCATTGTAAGGTAGTCTAACCATCACAATAAGGTACCATAACCCTCCTGGAGGTGCATGGGTCCTCAGAAACAGTTTCTTTTCTTCAGGATGAAACCAATAAAGCAATGATGTTTTGGGAAATTATGCTGAAAATTAGCCAGATTGAAGATAATTTTGTGTTATGGATGCAAGAAACTATTTTATTGATCATGTTTTGTTTTGATTTAGGCAGAATGAATACTATCAAAACATTGAGGATGACTCGATTGGATACATGTCAACATGCATTATATACACCAGGGCAGCGTTTCTCGAAACCGTCATAACTACAAGTTCACCGACATCCCATCGAAACGCGTGTTAAACTTAAAACACGCGTTTCAATGGGATGTCGGTGAACTTGTAGTTATGATGGTTTCGAGAAACGCTACCCAGTACTAATTGAACACCATATGGTACATGTACATAGGCATTAAGTGTACGACATTCATGTATCCCATTATTAAAAAAAATCCTTTGCAGAAGTTCATGTTCACATGAAATACATCTATAGTATTCTATCTCTCTCTCTCTCACACACACACACACACACACACCTTTTCTCTTTTCAATGTTTTTATCATAATCAAGCTGTTGGAAACCAGGCACCGCAGCTTTTCAATTGTCCAGAATCTGCTTCTGGAGTTTCAATTCCACCAGCAAACTCAGTTGCTGTTTCCTGGACACCACCCACTGCAACCGATGATTCTGGCACACCAGTACTAACAAGTTCTTTTCAACCTGGCAGTCAGTTTTTTGTTGGTGTAACTCCTGTTACGTACACAGCAAGGGATGCAGCTGGGCTGGCAACTAGCTGTTCCTTCCAGGTCACAGTTACACAAGGTTTGTATAGACCATGATTGTTATGTATTCAATATGTAAGCCAGCTATGATTTTGTCATTTTGTGACCCATTCTTTAACCCAATTCCTATAGAACCAGGTGGTCTCTTTATCAAGCCAACGGGAATAAAAGAACAGGAAATGGTTGAACCTAGAGCATGTCTCACCGCCTCGTCTGTTGACTTACAGACAGTCATTGTAAGGTAGTCTAACCATCATAATAAGGTACCATAACCCTCCTGGAGGTGCATGGGTCCTCAGAAACAGTTTCTTTTCTTCAGGATGAAACCAATAAAGCAATGATGTTTTGGGAAATTATGCTGAAAATTAGCCAGATTAAAGATAATTTTGTGTTATGGATGCAAGAAACTATTTTATTGATCATGTTTTGTTTTGATTTAGGCAGAATGAATACTATCAAAACATTGAGGATGACTCGATTGGATACATGTCAACATGCATTATATACACCAGGGCAGCGTTTCTTGAAACCGTCATAACTACAAGTTCACCGACATCCCATCGAAACGCGTGTTAAACTTAAAACACGCGTTTCAATGGGATGTCGGTGAACTTGTAGTTATGACGGTTTCGAGAAACGCTACCCAGTACTAATTGAACACCATATGGTACATGTACATAGGCATTAAGTGTACGACATTCATGTATCCCATTATTAAAAAAAATCCTTTGCAGAAGTTCATGTTCACATGAAATACATCTATAGTATTCTATCTCTCTCTCTCTCACACACACACACACACACACACCTTTTCTCTTTTCAATGTTTTTATCATAATCAAGCTGTTGGAAACCAGGCACCGCAGCTTTTCAATTGTCCAGAATCTGCTTCTGGAGTTTCAATTCCACCAGCAAACTCAGTTGCTGTTTCCTGGACACCACCCACTGCAACCGATGATTCTGGCACACCAGTACTAACAAGTACTTTTCAACCTGGCAGTCAGTTTTTTGTTGGTGTAACTCCTGTTACGTACACAGCAAGGGATGCAGCTGGGCTGGCAACTAGCTGTTCCTTCCAGGTCACAGTTACACAAGGTTTGTATAGACCATGATTGTTATGTATTCAATATGTAAGCCAGCTATGATTTTGTCATTTTGTGACCCATTCTTTAACCCAATTCCTATAGAACCAGGTGGTCTCTTTATCAAGCCAACGGGAATAAAAGAACAGGAAAGGGTTGAACCTAGAGCATGTCTCACCACCTCGTCTGTTGACTTACAGACAGTCATTGTAAGGTAGTCTAACCATCACAATAAGGTACCATAACCCTCCTGGAGGTGCATGGGTCCTCAGAAACAGTTTCTTTTCTTCAGGATGAAACCAATAAAGCAATGATGTTTTGGGAAATTATGCTGAAAATTAGCCAGATTGAAGATAATTTTGTGTTATGGATGCAAGAAACTATTTTATTGATCATGTTTTGTTTTGATTTAGGCAGAATGAATACTATCAAAACATTGAGGATGACTCGATTGGATACATGTCAACATGCATTATATACACCAGGGCAGCGTTTCTCGAAACCGTCATAACTACAAGTTCACCGACATCCCATCGAAACGCGTGTTAAACTTAAAACACGCGTTTCAATGGGATGTCGGTGAACTTGTAGTTATGACGGTTTCGAGAAACGCTACCTGGTACTAATTGAACACCATATGGTACATGTACATAGGCATTAAGTGTACGACATTCATGTATCCCATTATTAAAAAAAATCCTTTGCAGAAGTTCATGTTCACATGAAATACATCTATAGTATTCTATCTCTCTCTCTCTCACACACACACACACACACACACACCTTTTCTCTTTTCAATGTTTTTATCATAATCAAGCTGTTGGAAACCAGGCACCGCAGCTTTTCAATTGTCCAGAATCTGCTTCTGGAGTTTCAATTCCACCAGCAAACTCAGTTGCTGTTTCCTGGACACCACCCACTGCAACCGATGATTCTGGCACACCAGTACTAACAAGTACTTTCCAACCTGGCAGTCAGTTTTTTGTTGGTGTAACTCCTGTTACGTACACAGCAAGGGATGCAGCTGGGCTGGCAACTAGCTGTTCCTTCCAGGTCACAGTTACACAAGGTTTGTATAGACCATGATTGTTATGTATTCAATATGTAAGCCAGCTATGATTTTGTCATTTTGTGACCCATTCTTTAACCCAATTCCTATAGAACCAGGTGGTCTCTTTATCAAGCCAACGGGAATAAAAGAACAGGAAATGGTTGAACCTAGAGCATGTCTCACCGCCTCGTCTGTTGACTTACAGACAGTCATTGTAAGGTAGTCTAACCATCACAATAAGGTACCATAACCCTCCTGGAGGTGCATGGGTCCTCAGAAACAGTTTCTTTTCTTCAGGATGAAACCAATAAAGCAATGATGTTTTGGGAAATTATGCTGAAAATTAGCCAGATTGAAGATAATTTTGTGTTATGGATGCAAGAAACTATTTTATTGATCATGTTTTGTTTTGATTTAGGCAGAATGAATACTATCAAAACATTGAGGATGACTCGATTGGATACATGTCAACATGCATTATATACACCAGGGCAGCGTTTCTCGAAACCGTCATGACTACAAGTTCACCGACATCCCATCGAAACGCGTGTTAAACTTAAAACACGCGTTTCAATGGGATGTCGGTGAACTTGTAGTTATGACGGTTTCGAGAAACGCTACCCGGTACTAATTGAACACCATATGGTACATGTACATAGGCATTAAGTGTACGACATTCATGTATCCCATTATTAAAAAAAAATCATTTGCAGAAGTTCAATATACATGTATGGTATTCTCACACACACACACACACACGCGCACACACACACCCATTCTCTTTTTCAATGTTTTTATCATAATCAAGGAGCTGTTGGAAACCAGGCACCGCAGCTTTTCAATTGCCCAGCATCTGCTTCTGGAGTTTTAATTCCACCAGCAAACTCAGTTGCTGTTTCCTGGACACCACCCACTGCAACCGATGATTCTGGCACACCAGTACTAACAAGTACTATCCAACCTGGCAGTCAGTTTGTTGTTGGTGTTACTCCTGTTACGTACTCAGCAAGGGATGCAGCTGGGCTGGCAACTAGCTGTTCCTTCCAGGTCACAGTTACACAAGGTTTGTATAGACCATGATTGTTATGTATTCAATATGTAAGCCAGCTATGATTTTGTCATTTTGTGACCCATTCTTTAACACAACTCCTTTAGAACCCGGTGGTCTCTTCATCATGCCAATGGGAATAAAAGAACAGGTTTAATTATCATAATAGTAAACTTAATTAACATTAAATGTATCACCACCTATAGCAGAGATGCCAAGTTCAAAGATCAGCTATGCGTGACATTTTCATGACTCCTCACGGGCGAGGGTATAGCGTATAGTGTATGTTTTGATGCATAACTCATATCATTGCGAAGGGGAAGCCTTGCCGATCAAGTACAACATCTATTCTCTTAAAAATATGATTGGGGCCCGCAGTAATCAACTCTCAAAAATGTTAGTTTTGACATTTAGATTTTCTGCCTTCAGCGGTCCTCTGTAGAGCGTCAATATTTGTGACATCACAAATGGGACATGGCTGGCTAGCTGCATACTGCTACACGGAACTGAGCTGTTCGTCCAGTGTGTGACGTCACAATTCAGAGCTCGCTACGCTTGTGTGTTTGACTTACATTCAGGGGCGTTCGGGAGTCTAAGGAGGGTATTGAAAAATTGCATTTTACGCCTTTCCATGATATCTATATGATTTCTCAGCAAATTGTTTGTGTTTTTCAAGAGAAAATCTTTCCATCCATATGTAATTTGTTCTAATTATGAGTTGTTAGTGAATTTTCTTTGTGTAGCTCCTTTAAGGTTTCTTTTTATCAAAGGCATTTCTTTCTTTCTTCTCGTAGGTGACCTTTGCAGCAACCCATCATTTGCTCTGGACTGCATCAACGGTGCCTGCATGGAGGATGGGGAGTCCAACACCACCTTCTGCAGGTGCGCCACGGGGTACGGAGGACCGGCATGTAACACCAGCTCCACTCTATGCGACAATAACCCTTGTGGTGCCAGCGGCGAGTGCCAGACCAATGCTGCTTTGGATGACATCATCTGCCATTGTTCAGCAGGTAGGCAATCTAACATTTCCTCAGGGGACATTTGCTCCAGGCTCTGTTTCAATGCAAATATAGGGTAATTAGCAGACCTCCCAATTAACCCTCCCGATTTTGGCAGATTTTTTTTCACCTTTTCACTTCATTTCTGCCATTCTGATTCTGCAAAATCACAATTATGATATGCCCATATTAGCAACTTGAAAAATTGTGAGGGGTGCAATTTTTTGAGAATGCTTGTCATCTGCTGCTATTTATACTTGTACCAGTATGTGAATAAACAAATAATGTTTAATAAATCATATATCTATTCTTCTGCATCCTTTTCTCCTGTTTGTGTATTGTGATTAGGTTATGGAGGCACTCTGTGTACCTTAGAAATCCATGACTGTGAGGTGAATCCATGCTTGAACAGAGGAGCCTGCCAGGATGGCATCAACTCCTTCACATGTGATTGCACCGGTACAGGTTACTCTGGAACCCGCTGCGAAACCAACGTAAATGAGTGCCAGAACAGCCCTTGCCAGAACGGAGCAGGCTGCTCCGACACCAACGGTGGGTACTACTGCACCTGCACGGCGGGGAACATCGGGCCCAACTGTGAAGAAAACCTCTGCTCGTTGACTCCATGCGAGAACGGTGCCACGTGCTCTGTCAACGAAGGGAATATCATTTGCACATGTGCTGGAGGATTCGAGGGGGGTCGCTGCGAAACGGACATTGACGAATGCGTCTCGCAGCCATGCCAAAACGGCGGCATATGTGTCGATAACCCTAACGAGTTTCAGTGTTTTTGTGCTGAAGACTATATAGGTATTATATGCGAGATAGAACTAGATGAGTGTGATCAGGAGGATATCAATTCATGTCTGAACGGCGCAACTTGCATGGACTTACCCGTAGGCCACTCTTGCAATTGCATTCCGGGCTTCACCGATGCCGACTGCGGGACAAATATAGACGAGTGTGCGAGTTCTCCGTGCTCCAACAACGCTACTTGTGTGGACGAGGTCAACCAATTCAGATGCGAGTGTGCACCAGGCTTCAGCGGGATCAAGTGCGAGATCAACATCAACGAGTGTGCATCAAACCCCTGCGATAATGGTGGAGTGTGCACGGACGAAGTGAATGGGTGAGAAAACTACCTTTAAACCAACTATACATAATTCAATAGTTTATATTTACTTTGTGTGATTTAGCAATCTTCTGTACAAAACTATTCCTGAATACCTTTTACAAAGGTTTAAAAATAAAGCGTCATTTGGGCATAGACTTTCATAAAAAGACTTTTAATATTCAAGAATTTTTTACTCAAATTAGAGCATGCAGAGAGCACATGTACGTATCAACTACCTACTACACTGATTCATCAGGCATCATAGAATTTGCAAACACTATTTGTAGAATGTATTTTCTAAAAACGATAAGTTTAGCAATATCTAAATCGTAAAAATCCTACAACAAAGAAACTGCCAATTAAGTTTAAACTAGGCAGCAAATGTGCTCCAAATAAATATTTCTTTAAAAAAAATCTATATACATGTATATGTTTACATACCCGGTACTGTATGTGGGGTTGCATGTGGGTATTTCTTCTTTTTGGTCTGTGAATTCATATCTATTCATTTACTGAGGGCTATTTCTAAAGCAATTTACCAGATTTATCTTCTTCTTTAGGTCCTGCACCTCCTTCCCATATTGAAAAGATATTCAATAAATATTAATTGTAATCCATATAATATAGATACCTGTATTAAATTGCAGACATATGAATTACACTCGTTTTAAATTCTTTCACATTTCATATCAATATTTATACAGTATACATCTGATATAAATTTTTGATAAATTACAAACTTTCTAATTATTTCTTGATACATTTCTCCAGTTCTCCACACGGAGGGTAAGAGAACATATATATATTTTGTTATAGTCCCCCAAAAATTGCAACGACTCAGCCAGCCGCTGAATAAGGGGGGGGGGGGGGTAAGAGGACACTTTTTTTTTTTTTTTTTGGTCACAAAATTTGTAAATTTGACATTTTGCTCCGTTGGGGGGGGGGGGGGGGGGGGGGTAAGGTCAACTTTTTAGGTCAGCCATTGGTATATATATATATATATATATATATTTTTTTTAATTTTGGGGACCGGGGGGGGGGGGGGGGGGGGGCACGTCCATTTTGGGGAATTTTTAGCGAATTTAGGGCTGATTTTAACATGTTTTTGGGCGGCCGGGATGGCACGTGCCCCCTGTGCCCCCCTGGACCTGTCCCTGGCCCGTTAAAAGCAGTGGAGAGATATTTTTAATCATCTAATCAGAAGGAAGTTTAACAATTTTGGATGGCGTAAAAATTATTTTTGTGAAATGACAAGATTTTTTTCTGTTCTGAAATTGTTTGCGTAATTGTTTTTTGTGTTTCATATTATTGTACTCTGTTTCTTGTTTCATTATAATGCTGGTGGAAAGCATATTTTTACATTGTGGATGAATAAATCAATATCAATATATCAATCTCCCTTTTGAAAGTAAAATTTTTACATTTTTATCTTGTTGGGCCTCAGTGGTTTTTTGTTTACCCCCTAGGTGTATACAGATTTCTGTGTCAGTTTTTCTTAGGCTCTTGTCAGGCACAATAGCTTGGCCCATACACTCATCAGGTTCTAGCATTTTCATCGCAATTAACAAAAAAAAAAAAAAGGGCCCTGGTGTGCAACTAATGAATATCCCCTTGAAAGAAAGTCTAACTCGTATTAATTGACACTAATATTCCTCTACATTTACCAGATATCGAAATGTGGTACATGGATGTTCTTCACAATCGGTGCTTTGTTTACATTTTCCCTTGCTTTCGTTTACCTCAATGTTATTCTTTTTCTTCACCAATCCAACCCCTCTCTAACAGGAACTTGTCATTGACAGTGTACATTTGTTTTCTGTTCTTGTGCAGGTACGCATGCAACTGCTCTGACACAGGGTCCGATGGACCTCGGTGCACCGACATCTGCTCTAGCAACCCATGTCCAGGGGGTGCAGACTGTCTTGACAGAGATGACGGATATGAATGTAAGTGGAGATTTCCATCAAACAAATCGTAATGGTGGTTAGTTTACCTGACTGCTAAGAAAGCATAAAAGCTTGTAAGTAAGCAACCAGACGGCCGACGGCTTTAGGTCCTTTCCAAGGGACCTGGTAATGAGGATTAATGCCTTACCAAAGGGCACTAGCGCATCGACTTGGTTTCGAACCTGGGTCACCGGATTACGAGACCACTGCTTTACCGACTGAGCTATCGTGCCTCCTGTGACCTTTGATGATATTTGTACTGCAATTGAATATCTTCATTTACGTTCTTTGCCTCAAGTAGATGCATGTACTTCAGTTGCTGCTGCCTATTCATACGTCTATACGTCCATACTCATCATCATTTTCATCTCCTTCTGTATTTCATACATTTTTAGATAGAGTTTTTGAATTCAAACTGCCAAACTGCACCAGCAACTTTTGTGAAAACTGGGTTAGCTGCACAAACCCGCCCTATTATCTCCCTCCTTATCACTTTCATCCTTTACACTATAGGTATTTAAGTAGAGTTTGTGAGATCAAGCTGCCAGACTGCACCAGCAACTTTCATGTATGTGAAAACTGGGCCGGCTGCACAAGCTTGTCCTACAACCATAGTCATCATCACTTTTATCCTTTACTTGGGTAGACTCCACCAGCAACCTTTGTGAAAACAGGACCAGCTTCACAGTCTTACTTATCATTACTTCTTCCCTGCTTCATGTGTATTCAGGTAGAGTTTGTGAAACCAAACTGCCAGACTGCCCCGGAATCCTCTGTGAAGATTGGACTAGCAGCACAGACTTATTTATCATTATATACCTTTTCCCTGCTTCATGTGTATTCAGGTAGAGTTTGTGAAACCAAACTGCCAGACTGCCCCGGAATCCTCTGTGAAGATTGGACTAGCAGCACAGACTTATTTATCATTATATACCTTTTCCCTGCTTCATGTGTATTCAGGTAGAGTTTGTGAAACCAAACTGCCAGACTGCCCCGGAATCCTCTGTGAAGATTGGACTAGCAGCACAGACTTATTTATCATTATATACCTTTTCCCTGCTTCATGTGTATTCAGGTAGAGTTTGTGAAACCAAACTGCCAGACTGCCCCGGAATCCTCTGTGAAGATTGGACTAGCAGCACAGACTTATTTATCATTATATACCTTTTCCCTGCTTCATGTGTATTCAGGTAGAGTTTGTGAAACCAAACTGCCAGACTGCCCCGGAATCCTCTGTGAAGATTGGACTAGCAGCACAGACTTATTTATCATTATATACCTTTTCCCTGCTTCATGTGTATTCAGGTAGAGTTTGTGAAACCAATCTGCCCGACTGCCCCGGAATCCTCTGTGAAGATTGGACTAGCAGCACAGACTTATTTATCATTATATACCTTTTCCCTGCTTCATGTGTATTCAGGTAGAGTTTGTGAAACCAAACTGCCAGACTGCCCCGGAATCCTCTGTGAAGATTGGACTAGCAGCACAGACTTATTTATCATTATATACCTTTTCCCTGCTTCATGTGTATTCAGGTAGAGTTTGTGAAACCAATCTGCCCGACTGCCCCGGAATCCTCTGTGAAGATTGGACTAGCAGCACAGACTTATTTATCATTATATACCTTTTCCCTGCTTCATGTGTATTCAGGTAGAGTTTGTGAAACCAAACTGCCAGACTGCCCCGGAATCCTCTGTGAAGATTGGACTAGCAGCACAGACTTATTTATCATTATATACCTTTTCCCTGCTTCATGTGTATTCAGGTAGAGTTTGTGAAACCAATCTGCCCGACTGCCCCGGAATCCTCTGTGAAGATTGGACTAGCAGCACAGACTTATTTATCATTATATACCTTTTCCCTGCTTCATGTGTATTCAGGTAGAGTTTGTGAAACCAAACTGCCAGACTGCCCCGGAATCCTCTGTGAAGATTGGACTAGCAGCACAGACTTATTTATCATTATATACCTTTTCCCTGCTTCATGTGTATTCAGGTAGAGTTTGTGAAACCAATCTGCCCGACTGCCCCGGAATCCTCTGTGAAGATTGGACTAGCAGCACAGACTTATTTATCATTATATACCTTTTCCCTGCTTCATGTGTATTCAGGTAGAGTTTGTGAAACCAAACTGCCAGACTGCCCCGGAATCCTCTGTGAAGATTGGACTAGCAGCACAGACTTATTTATCATTATATACCTTTTCCCTGCTTCATGTGTATTCAGGTAGAGTTTGTGAAACCAATCTGCCCGACTGCCCCGGAATCCTCTGTGAAGATTGGACTAGCAGCACAGACTTATTTATCATTATATACCTTTTCCCTGCTTCATGTGTATTCAGGTAGAGTTTGTGAAACCAAACTGCCAGACTGCCCCGGAATCCTCTGTGAAGATTGGACTAGCAGCACAGACTTATTTATCATTATATACCTTTTCCCTGCTTCATGTGTATTCAGGTAGAGTTTGTGAAACCAATCTGCCCGACTGCCCCGGAATCCTCTGTGAAGATTGGACTAGCAGCACAGACTTATTTATCATTATATACCTTTTCCCTGCTTCATGTGTATTCAGGTAGAGTTTGTGAAACCAATCTGCCCGACTGCACCGGAATCCTCTGTGAAAATGGGGCTAGCAGCACAGACTTATTTATCATTATATACCTTTTCCCTGCTTCATGTGTATTCAGGTAGAGTTTGTGAAACCAATCTGCCCGACTGCACCGGAATCCTCTGTGAAAATGGGGCTAGCAGCACAGACTTATTTATCATTATATACCTTTTCCCTGCTTCATGTGTATTCAGGTAGAGTTTGTGAAACCAATCTGCCCGACTGCACCGGAATCCTCTGTGAAGATTGGACTAGCAGCACAGACTTATTTATCATTATATACCTTTTCCCTGCTTCATGTGTATTCAGGTAGAGTTTGTGAAACCAATCTGCCCGACTGCACCGGAATCCTCTGTGAAGATTGGACTAGCAGCACAGACTTATTTATCATTATATACCTTTTCCCTGCTTCATGTGTATTCAGGTAGAGTTTGTGAAACCAATCTGCCCGACTGCACCGGAATCCTCTGTGAAGATTGGACTAGCAGCACAGACTTATTTATCATTATATACCTTTTCCCTGCTTCATGTGTATTCAGGTAGAGTTTGTGAAACCAAACTGCCAGACTGCCCCGGAATCCTCCGTGAAAATGGGGCTAGCAGCACAGACTTATTTATCATTATATACCTTTTCCCTGCTTCATGTGTACTCAGGTAAAGTTTGTGAGACCAAACTGCCAGACTGCCCCGGAATCCTCCGTGAAAATGGGGCTAGCAGCACAGACTTATTTATCATTATATACCTTTTCCCTGCTTCATGTGTATTCAGGTAGAGTTTGTGAAACCAATCTACCAGACTGCCCCGGAATCCTCCGTGAAAATGGGGCTAGCAGCACAGACTTATTTATCATTATATACCTTTTCCCTGCTTCATGTGTATTCAGGTAAAGTTTGTGAGACCAAACTGCCAGACTGCCCCAGAATCCTCTGTGAAGATTGGGCTAGCAGCACAGACTTATTTATCATTATATACCTTTTCCCTGCTTCATGTGTATTCAGGTAGAGTTTGTGAAACCAATCTGCCCGACTGCACCGGAATCCTCTGTGAAGATTGGACTAGCAGCACAGACTTATTTATCATTATATACCTTTTCCCTGCTTCATGTGTATTCAGGTAGAGTTTGTGAAACCAATCTGCCCGACTGCACCGGAATCCTCTGTGAAGATTGGACTAGCAGCACAGACTTATTTATCATTATATACCTTTTCCCTGCTTCATGTGTATTCAGGTAGAGTTTGTGAAACCAATCTGCCCGACTGCACCGGAATCCTCTGTGAAGATTGGACTAGCAGCACAGACTTATTTATCATTATTTACCTTTTCCCTGCTTCATGTGTATTCAGGTAGAGTTTGTGAAACCAATCTGCCCGACTGCACCGGAATCCTCTGTGAAGATTGGACTAGCAGCACAGACTTATTTATCATTATATACCTTTTCCCTGCTTCATGTGTACTTCGGGTAAAGTTTGTGAGACCAAACTACCAGACTGCCCCAGAATCCTCTGTGAAGATTGGGCTAGCAGCACAGACTTATTTATCATTATATACCTTTTCCCTGCTTCATGTGTACTCAGGTAAAGTTTGTGAGACCAAACTGCCCGACTGCCCCGGAATCCACTGTGAAAATGGGGCTAGCATCACAAACTTATTTTTCATTAGCACTACCCCCACTTTAGATGTATTCAGGTAGGGTTTGTGAGACCAATCTGCCCAACTGCGCCAGCAACCTATTTGAAACAGGATCAACTTCACAAACTTATTTATCATTAGTACTACCCCTACTTCATATGTATTCAGGAAGGGTTTGTGAAACCAAACTGCCAGACTGCCCCAGAATCCACTGTGAAAATGGGGCTAGCATCACAAACTTATTTTTCATTAGTTCTACCCCTACAGTGTACTTCAGACGTATTCAGGTAGAGTTTGCGAGACCAATCTGCCAGCAACCTATTTGAAACAGGATCAACTTCACAAACTTATTCATCATTAGTTCTATCCCTACTTAGGAAGTATTCAGGTAGAGTTTGTGAAAATATAAACTGCCAGACTATGCCAGTAGCCCGTGTCAAAACGGGGCCGCCTGCACAGACCTGCCTTACGACTATGAGTGCACCTGCTATAGCGGGATATACTGACAAGATCTGCCAAACCAACATCGATGAATGCGTCGATAACCAGTGCGTCAATGGTGCAACCTGCTTGGATCTTGTCAATGGCTACGATTGTAACTGTGAAGGTACAGGTAAAGTATGCAGCATTTCTTTCAGGGACTTGAACAATTTAATATATAATTCAGATTTTTACACCTTTTTTTTGTGTGTGTGTTCTTTCAATTCGTCACTCGTCAAATTTAAATAACTAAAATTTGTTAATGAACATCATGAAGCAATTTAAACATGACTGGATTAAAGGAAGAGTGCTAAAAACAAGTATCCAAAAATGAATGAATTCACATATGGAGATGGTATAATCAGTTAAACCAATGGTACAGAGCGGGGGGTGGGGATCTGGACATTAAACCAGTGTTTTCTAATTTTCCTTTTTTTCTCTTTTATATTTGATCACAGATGCAGTTTGTATTTTTTTTTTCTTATTTATTGTCAAATATTAGTATGACGAGGAGAAGAAACTGGTTCAGATTTGCCAAGAGGAAAAGGGAGAGTTCCTGAAACAGCAAATATTTACTGGACAGAAGTCGTGGATAGATATCCCGAGAAAGTTCATAATTATACGAAATATATCTTCTTGTTATTCCCTTTCTACATGTATTACGTTCTCATTTTCTTCTACATTTTCCTAATTCACTAGCCTCTTCCAATCTCACAATCTGTAGTAAATCTCCTCCTTATTCTCTCTTCCATTTCTTTTTCTCCACTTTCTTCACATTTTCTTGCTTTATTCCTAAAACAAAACTCTCTCAGAAAAAAATGTGTGATACACCTCCTTTGGAAATAAAATAAAATAAATTAACAAAGAGTGCCATTGTCTCTTGTTTTTCTATCTCTTTTTCAACTGTTCTTACACAATTCCCTTCACCAAAATTCTCTCTATCACGTCTTACTTTTTAACCTCTCTTCCAAACCCACTCCCTCCCCTATCCCCCATGCAACATGATACATAAGCTCACTTGAAAGAAATCACAAGAATACACAATGCAAAATTACAAATACTGTTACTTTAATGTGAAGAATCACACTTTACATCGTATGAAATAAGGTAAAATTACAAGTATTTTTTCTCTCCAATACATTCCAAAAGGAGAGCTGATGTAGTCCCATCTGTCCATTCCCAAAGCAAAATAAGACATCATAAGGACTTATTACAATTTTGTAATGTTTCCATATAGGTGTTTCAGCGTAGTTATGTAGAAATCTTATGAATTACATGTCAGAATGCCAATTGCATTGCTGTATAATGTGACGTTTCAAGAGAGAAACAATAGAGACAGAGGAAAGATAGAGACAGAGAGAAGAAAGAGACAAAGACAGAGAGAAGACAGAGACAGAGAGAAGAAAGAGACAGAGAGAAGAAAGAGACAGAGAGTAGAAAGAGACAGAGATGGAGAGAAGATAGAGATGGAGAGAAGGGTTTAGTTTATAGACAGAGAAATTAGTCATAAATTGACAGAGAGTGGGAGAAAGCGAAGTGAGATGGAGACTGTGTAAAGAGAGAAAGTTAGAGAGAATCTGAAAATGTATATAGAAAAAAAGGTCAAAGACTAAGATGAGAAAAAGAAAGAATTGGCTAAAAGTGAAGATACTACAATCAGTAAAGAAAGATAGTGAGAAGGAAAGGAGAGGAAGAGAGAGAGAGAGAGAGAGGGTGAGTGAGAGAGGGAGAGAGAGAGAGGGTGAGTGAGAGAGAAAACTGGAGGGAGAAGATAATTAAGAGATAAAGAACAACAAAGAAATGGCATAGGCTAAGAGAAAAGACTTACACTTACATTCACGACTTCACACCAAACTTTTAAGCAAAAGATTGATTTCTGTTATGCAAATGAGCAAAATGTCATCGATCATTACTAAAATGCGATATCCTTTCATGATAGAGAGCAGGCATTTCAGATTCTTTACGCAAATCTGAAATATCAGTCTCGAGGCAAGAATCAGAGAACTAAGCATTTTGAGTGCAAGTTTTTTTTCCTTTAGTCCCAACTACTCCAAACTGTTTATGCATTTTAGAAACTGATGACTTACATTATGAGCATATGGTTCCAATTAGCATTTAAAACCCAAAGCAAAAAAAGAAGTATGAAAGCATCTGAACGTTGCAGTCGGATAAATTTGCATAACGGCAAAGGCTTCTGAATTCAAGTGCGAAACAAAGAAATATGACTTTGCAGGATGCCACAATACATCCTACGTCATATTTAAATCATACCTCACATATGACATACATCATATATAATTCTAAAGCTTTTAAAAATGATAAATACAGCATTTGAAGAAAAAAAATGGTCTGTTTGGAGCCAGAAGGGTGTTAAATCATATCATTTTACCCGGAGTTAAAATGTAATTGCCTTCTGGTTCCAAACAGAGATGCATTAGTAACTTGAGTCACTTTAATAAGTTAATAGATTGATACAATTTGACATCTTGTATCATTAAATAAGGGTGGCTTGTTAATTCAAGATATCTCAATAAATACAAATATCTAAGATATACAAAGTACCAATCGTCAAAATGCACAAAACGTACATTGTCTTATGCATTTTTGCCCCATGTTGGTACAGGGCATAATTACAAATTTACAATTTACAGAGCTATTTTACACTGTACAGGTTTTTCTTTTAACAAGCTTTCATTTTCTCATTTAGTACTGCATTTTATGTTGAAAAATCTAAATTTTGCAACGTGCTACAGACAACAGACATTTAAAGGGACTGTTACAAATGACAACATCTAATCCAGTTTGCAGCTCTTAACTTAATATTCTAAAGATTTTACTTCTGATCTTTGCTACAAACAATATGCTTCATGTATAGGTGCAAATTAACAGTTCAATATACGTACTATCACTTTAAATAATGGCATAATATAATTTGGACCTCTTTCCATTTCCCCCTTTTTTAAAGGTGGGGGAGAAAAATCATAAAAAGCAAATAAGACCACTTTTTTTTTTAAATAGCTGAATGACATAGCTACAAATGATGTAATGTTCATGTAATGATCTTGTATTACCATACTTTTTTTTTAAAGGGAATAGTATCTGAAAAAAAGGCAAGATGATAACATAATATGGTGAACTGAATGTTTCCAATAATCAACATCATATTTTAAATACCACAAAGGAGAAATAATATCGACATCATTAGAATAAACGGTAAAAGATCAAATTTAATAAGGTGTGCACATAAAGAAAACATTCTTTCATGTGTGTGTATTGTGTTTTTACAGACGTGCATCAATCAGATATGATTATTTACGTCTGGGGACCGACCTTTAAACGTCACCATACGAAAGACGTGACTCAGTTTCGAACCTGTGTCCTCGGCTGAATCAGTTTGTAACTTCCACTTTTAGCTGGATTACAGGCACACGCCACATCATAAGTTTTATAATTCACTAAAACAGACAATAATTTGCGATGTAGCGTTACAAAGTATTTCATTCCAATTTTAGCAAACTTTGCCTGAAAAAAAGGGGCATTTTTTTGTAATACATTTGTAAACCACAAGCATGAAAAGCATGTCAACAGAAATCTTGAATCTTGCATAAGCTTTAGAAAATTTACACCTTTTTCGATAGATGCATTCAAGTTTATAAGCATATATTTTTTTTAATTGAAAGTGAACATAGATAACAAATAGTATGATCAGAGAAAATAATTAGAAGGGAAATGTGGCACTCATTTCCATCTATTCCCTCTTTAATATTCAAAGTGCATTGAGTAATCTTTACAGCATTAGTTTCCGAACTGTAAGTTATTATTAAACATCAACAATTTTGGTCACTGAATGCAGTAAAGTGAAAAATCAAAAATTAGATTCATGCACCTTTTGAAAAGTTAAGACAAGTCAACTCTGACATTTCAATAGAACCCTTTAGATAGGAAGACAAACCATTTACGCTGCGTTGGTGAGATTACAGAACTATAAATGTACTTAAAGGCAGGGTATTCTCCTGACCCAAATTTAGATTTAGGTATACCGCCATCTGCTGCTCACAATGTCCCGATGTGTTGACATCAATGTCCCACAATGCATCACCAACTGATGACACTTGCACGATGCTTGGGTACATAAGGGAAGGCAACTTTATTATCACTCGCGTTCGTCCGGGTTCAGGACGATCGCGTCCCCTCTCTTGTTAGCAGAACGCGACTGTCCTTAACGCGTAAGGTATGGTGGATTAAAACCTTCTCCATTCATCGCGTACCCTCCTTTGTTTAGAGAACGCGAGCGTCCCAAACGCGTACCCAATGAAAGGGGCAAGAATGGGGGGATTATCTTACATAATATTACATAATTCTTGAGAGGAATAGGGTTTCTTTTTGTCGCGCTAAGAGGGGCAAGAACTCGTTTAATCACCTTGCCAGTAAAATTTCTTCCTTCTAGCGATCGGAAGGCTTTCCCCATTTTAAATGAAATGTAAATGAAATGAAAATTGTGTGAATCGCAATCGATGCAGAGGTCCGTTGTTTGAGGTTGAGAGAGAGAGGGAAAGAGAGGTAGAGGGACGTAGACATGCATGTTTTGTTCTTTGAAATATTTACTCTACGAGACTGTTATGTATTTTTATATGTCATCTTTTGTCATCATTTTGGACGTTTGGTCTTATGAAAACTGATTTTGAATGAATGATACTACGCCGCGGCCGCCTTGTAGCGACCAGCAGCGCTAGAACAATTTCTAATTTGCATACCCTGTGCCGCCCATTGAGCTGGGAAGGGTAATAGACATTCTGACATTTCTATCGATCTTTTCGTGGGTGCAATGAAAAGGCACAAATGAAGTAGAAAGTTGGATTGATAACCGTATCTTGGAAATGTTGTAATCAACACCCAAGTTCAGACAGACCGCGATATTTAAGATTGTCAGCCTACGCCTTTGTTCTGAGAGCGCCGACTTGTGGCGGGAATGTCATAATAAATCTGTCATTATTTGTATGTCGTTGTTGCGACTGGACAATGGTGAGGAGAATTTTTGTTCCGATAACAAAAACAGATCCAACAATTCCCCTTTTTAATTCGGGAATACACCTTGAAACTCTCTCTCTCTCGATAGTAGTAAATCCATCTGTATCTCAAATCACAACTATTTCCTTTCTTATCTGTTATCTTTCTCTCCAGGCCCTCTCTACGACCCTTTTTTTGTTAGCCCTCTCTCCCTCTCTCTCATCCAGTCACCTTTCTAATCTCTCTCTACCACTATCTCTCTACCTCTTACCACTATCTCTCTTTCTTTAATCAACACTTTCTTTAGCTAGTGCGTCCCATGAGAAAACGAAACGGAAAATTATCGATGTTTTATGATAACTTAATCAAAATTATAATAAATATAAGACACATATTTGTACAGGAATAACAAAGTTCTGTTTGTTTAAAGTAATGCTTGCATTTCCATAATTTCCATAACTCTGTTGCTACGGCAGGCAGCCAGTGAAAACGAATTCGTTTAATCAAATTATGGAAGTGCAAGCATTACTTTAAACAAACAGAAATTTGTTATTCCCGGCTCATTTTTCCTGATTGAGCCGAGGTTTAATTTATGAAAGGGCAGAAAGTGAACTTACCAAAGGATCATGTCTTCAAATTGTTTTTTAATCGCTCATTCGTGAAATATGCATTATATGAGTTGCATCAAATGAAAGAAGAGGATCTAAGCTTTACAAATATGTGTCATTTATTCATTATAACTATTGTCGATTGCTTATCTGAAATGAGGCGTCATGTCAATCAACACCAAAGTTCCAAAACATCGCGTATATTTAACATCGTTACGCGCCTTTGTTCTGAGAGCGGGAATGTCATAATAAATCTGTCATTCTTTGTTTCCCGTTGTGACTAGACTACGATAAAGAGCAATGCCATGTGGCATGAGAACAACATTGTTCAATTATTAGAGCATATACGGACCATTTAGATTGAAAATAAGAAATAGAACTCTTTTTACTTCTCGTAAATATACAGAGGATTACAATAAGAATTTCAACATCCATCATCTCTTGCATCCTCTTTCTTTCCCTCGTTCTCTCCAATTCCCCTCTCACTCGGTCTTTCTCTGTCCCACTCTCCAATGATCTATGACATTCTCTGTTTTGTTTAAGAATAAATATGCACACCCTCCCCAATTTCAATTCAATTCCAAGAAAAAATAAAGTTTGTATTTAATTGAAGAAAAAAATAAGAACAAAAAAAAAAAATTATTTAAAAGACTAGATGGAATTAAAAAATTAGAGGGGGCAGATAAATTAGGTGAAGGAAAAAATATTGAATTTCAAGATAAAGAAATCGGGAGACGTATTAAAGAATGAATTCGCAGTCTTCAACACAATTCAAATTTTTAATTTCAATGAAATTCTGAAAAACGATATAATAACGTTATCATCATTAATCATTGAAAACAAAATCTAAGAGATGGAATTACAAAATTAGATGAAGTAAGTGATGAACAGGGGCGTACCCAGGATTTGTTCGTAGGGGGGGGGGGGGGGGTTAAATTGCGCCGAAAATTTTGTACTGACAGGCAGGGGAGGGGGTAAGAGCACTTTTTTTTTTGGTCCAGGAAATGATGTTTTTGGGGTCACCCATAAGCACACACACAAAATGAGGGGGGGGTCCCCCTTCCCTCTCACTGCGTGCGCGCCTGGTGATGAAGATATAAATAAAGAAATATTAGAGTTCAAGAAGAAAGAAAGGATCGGGAGACGGAAAGATGGCAGCCGCAGGTAAAAAGGGCGACTAAATAAATACGAAAATGCATTGTACAAAATAAAATTCAAGAAAAGGGAAAAGTAAAACCAACAGGAAGGCAAAGATAGACCCACAACTTCACTTCACTCATTCTGGAACATTTCATCACTATCTGTTATTTATTTGAGAAACCAACTACGAGTGAGCAATCACTCATCACGTGGCCTTGGTCGATGATCTAATCTTATCAAAATGCTAATGTCTCCCCTTTGTTCAGCTCCGATCCCTTCTTGGCGGCCTAGCCCTTTCATGTTTGCGCGCTCTCCATCATACATTTCCCTCTCTTTCTCTATCTCTCTCTTGCGCTGTCTCTTTCGTGAAGTTATCTCCTCCTCCCCCCCCCCCCCCCCTTTCCCCTGAAAAGATGAGCGTGGGAAAACCTCTCTCACGCTCTCTTCTCTGTCACATTCACTTGAGTTCATTCACTCGGCCCATAAATGGCTTTGTTTTTGTTTACATTAGCTCAGAGGCGGCTTCATAAGTCATGAATGAACTGACTAGTATGTCTGGTTACTAAGCAACTATGCAGTCAATCAAAATGTTCAAATTCATTTGTGGCTGCATGGTTTCATATCGGGCAATAAAAAAAGCTCAAAATTTTGATATTTAACAATCATATAGTGAGATCCTACTCAAACTCGTGAATTTCTCATTTTTAAAGAACAATTTCCAGCAAATTAAAAATATGAACTGGCCATGTTAATGACGCGGGCCTACAAACACGTCGACAGCTCTTCTTATTTTTGGTGTCTCGGAGTCAACGGGTGTATATGTCATTTTGAGGCAGAGAATTTGAGTACTGCAATTTTGTGAAAATAAGAAAATGCAATATTGTTTTTAATATAAGGAAAATAATTACAGCTTTAAATACATGACTTGGTCTAGCTCGATAAAAATCAAACAACTATGATCATATTCATTTTTTTTTCTTCGTGACATTGGATAACAAATTTCACAAATTCCAACATACTATAAATATTGATAATTGAGATTATTTAGTGCAAGGGTAAATATGACAATGACCCGGAACATAATAAAGGGATAACAATTAAACAAATTACTCTTAATACTTGTAAACGTTTTTTTTTTTTTTTTAGGGGAGCGGGGTCAAATTTTCCCTAGTGTCGCGCCACGCCTTTTTAATTTCTTGGCGAGAGGCCTGATTATGCATAGAATTAAAAAAATCAACAAAAGGGAAAAGTAAAACAACAGGGAGGCAAAGTTACATCTACATCTTCACTTGTAGGTAGTACATGCAATGTAAATCCTAATTTTGATTTCTATATTTATTTTGTAAAAACACTGAATTTTCTGCTGTGATTTTACATAAAACTCAGACTTCACAGAGCTGCCAAGCAGAACGTTTTTAACGTATTTATACAGGTTTTTTAAGTTTGGCTGTGCGAACGTGGCTACAGGTTGGCTGTGAGAACGAGCGTATGCATAGTTGTGCCAATGTTTCGTGTTGGCAATTCCTGTGGCGCGCACGCATGCACATTACACACAACACAGGGGATGTACACCACTCAAAGACGTGCGCATTACCCCAGGCTATGCATACACACATACATGCATCCGATCGTGATATCAAACCAGCATCCACAACACACGCAAATTACATATCAGTGCACTGCACTACACACAGCGTCACTCACTAGTACAAGGAAATCCCGATGTCACTTCCAAAAATCCACCCCAAAAGCCAAATTTTGCTGTCAAAAGTGCGGAATCGGAGCCATATTTCCAAAGCATGCGGTGGCTTAGCCAAGTTTTAAAAACGGCTTCGCCAAAAAAAGCGCTTAAAATCAAGAAATCAGAGATTTTGTAACGATTTTTTTGGCTTATCGCAAGCGCCCTTCGAGGGCCTTCGAGTGTGCTGCGTCTTTACCAGCGCTGTCGGGCTCAGATCACGTGACCGCATGTTAGGGGGCTATCCACATGTTGTGATTTGCGCGAATTGCTGATCCACGCAATGCAGTACTGATTAATAGGTTGGGGAATACAGACACTACTAAATATGATTTATATATTTGCAGTGTCGCAGAAGCTTTTACTCATATGCAGCTGTATGTAGAAAGACTTGAGGCGTTGCTGGTTAGGTTTATTATTTTAGCGCGCGACACATTTTTGGGACAAATTATTATCAATCAACCCGGGGGATTGCAGCTCTAGCTCTGCTTTCAAGACTGAAAATTCATCTATGAAAATCTACTATCGTATTCTAAACGCGAGCTAGACGGGTGCTACTATTGTCAGGGAACGCCAGATTAACGCGTTCTAGACGGGTCAGCTATTGTCAGGGGACGCCAGATTAGAAAGGATTAGAGAGGGGCTGGATAGCGGTGAGGTTGATTGACAGCGGTCCTAGCGGACGGGATGGCTTCTTTTCTGGCTGCCTGCTCTATTGTCCAACAGACAACAATAGACGCGAGCAAGGGACGCCAAGGGACCGCCAGCGTACAATACGCGTCCGGGAACGGGGGATTAAGAGATAAGTAGGCGTCCCGAACCCGGACGAACGCGAGTGATAATAAAGTTGCCTTCCCTAACCGGAAATCGCACTATGTACGCCTTCACCAAACGATGGCGCAATTGAAAATACTTCACACTGGTGGAAGCGATGTCAGTAAAATACCCTGCCTTTAAACTCTAAACACATTGGCCAGTTTTCATAAAAAGCAGACAGAGAAATGACTTGGTTCTTTGGTTTATGCATGGTCTTTTGAGTGCTGATAAGAAAATGATAAACGATATATTATGAACAGATACATTCAAGGGGATGCTCAGGGCCAAGCTGTCATAAGGTGCTGAAAGCATTCAAGGAACATCAACTTAATACCAGGTAACCATTCACTACACCCGGGTTAAGAGAGGCAAATGTAGATTACTGTCGTGCTTAAAGGACATTATAGTGCTTGTCCATTCCTTAGTGACATGAATAAACAAAATGGATTCCGTCACAAAATCAAATGAAAAATTAATTTAATAAAATTAATTTTAAAACCTATTTTGATTACAGAATTTACAGAATAATTGTCACTGGTATGGGAGAAAAAGGTTGACAATTGGTGCTTTGCAAATTTGTGAACTAGCTCGATCCCCTTAATCCTGGTTTATTTCTGGACCAAAACCTATCATGCTTTTATGAATACCGGCCAATCTTTTTACTTTCTACAAACTTATAATACAATCTTATCAGCCTCTTGAGAAGAAAAAAAATATACAAACAAAAAAAATTAATATAAACAAACTGTACATATTATTGCACATAGGTTAGAGGTCAAAGGGCATGGTCATGGGGTCAGCTCTGGTCAATGTCAACTGCACATGCTGCCACGTCACAAACTATAAACCTCCCCCATGACCACGCCTACTTTTAAATGTTTTACATTTTTACATCTACGTTTATGAAGTCTTGTTTACATATGCCATGGCAAACTGCAGGGTTTTTTCTACACACACTCGTCATCGTTGTTTAGTGTCAGTTTTTACCGAGCTCTGGGGTTGGAGGTTTCATTTCCTTTTAATAATGGCTCTTCTCCAAGCCTCCTGGGGGGCGTTTCACAAGGCTTTTTTTTCAATGCAAGTGACAAAAATCAGTGACAAATCTGCTGATAACCAATCAGAAGTAAGGATTTCAGTAGCTTATAACAAAAACTGTCATTCGTCACTGATGACAAGTTATGTGAAAAGCCCCCCCCCCCCCCCAGTCTTCAGCAACTGCCTGGGCGAGGTCATGGGGTCTGTTTGGAGCCAGAAGGGCATTAACTCAGTGTTAAAAGATATAACGTAACGCCCTTCTGCCTTTCAAGAGACGATATGCTCTCATATCTTCTTCTTCACATTTTTGTATCTTATAATCTTAGTGAGTACATGTAGGATCGTTTTTCAATCCCCACTCCCCTTTTTATTCACCAGTAATAGACCCCCAAAATGTGGTGGTTTACAGTGGCATAAGTGGATAGACCTTATAAAAAGAGGGAAATAAAGTATCTGTACTCATTATTACCATATACACATTCCCTTTTCCAATTTAAAGTATTTTTGTGATTTACTAACCAAACAAAATCAACTGTAGGTAATTTCAGGAACACATTTACGCTTCCACAGCAAAACTGTTTGAGTTGTACAGCAAAAATAGGCCCAATGGTAATATAAATAAATATTTAGTTAATTAAGTATCTTTACTCCCATCATGAAATGGAAGGCATTGTACTTTTGTCAAATGAAGTAAATTCATACAGCAGATAAAGTGAAAATAAATATTGATCCCTGCATACACTAGAAACAACCAGAAAGGTAACTACAAAGGATTATTTTGTAAGGTTTACTGAATGATTCTAAAAATGGCCCAAAAGAGAATGATTCTTAATACAGTATTTGATAATAGAAATTAATTTGAAGCACTGGTTTAATGAACATTACAATATAAAGTTTATATGATACCAGGAATTGGATGCTAAATGCCACAAAGTTATGTACCACATGTATGTGTGTCTTTGCATGTTATTCATTTTGTAGAATTACTACCAATATCTTTTTATAAACAAGTTCTAACAGGCTGAATTTGCTTCAGCTTGCAACTATTCACAATGAACATTTTGATTTTACTTTAAGGAGCCTGAGCTCCATCAAAAGCCATTAACCATCCAGAGAGACATGCAATGTCACAAGTTTCAACAAAGTTAAGCCAGGGCAGCTTCTCACGAAACCGTCTTGGGTACAAGTCTAGCTGATACCTCATTAAAATGCATTCTATAAAATATACTTGCATATCAATGTGATATTAGAAAAACTTGTACTGTACTTATTACAATTTCGTGAAAAGAAAGTCCAGTTGGCTGTTTTATAGCAAAGTATTACATATGAATATGTGACAAATAAAGATGAGATTGAAAATAAGTTATTAAAGACGGCTATGGAAACATACAGGGTGTACATAAATTTGAATATTAAGGACCAGTACTACTGCAAAAACTGACCAAACCTAAAACATATAATGTATGCAATAGACTAATAAGGACCAGAATTAATGCAAAAACTAACCAAACTTGAAACATACCACGTGTAGGGAAATTTGACTTATAAGGACCAGCACTACTGCAAAAACTGACATTATTTGAAACATACAGGGTATGTCAATAGAATTATAAATACCAGAACTATTATAAAAAGACCTTACACAAGTAACATGCAAATAGACTGATATAGGCCAGGACCGAGACTAGGACATATCAATTCCTACTCAGGTCCTGGAGCTATTATCAAACACACCATAAATGAGGTTGAAGTACAAGAGTCCTGGTCCAAGAGATCGGACCAGGAACTTCACACTATTTAGACTAGGAACTCACACACACATCACATATAGAGAGCTGCTCCAGACTACTACTGTATAGTACCATGGCAGACAAATGGAAGCACCATAGGTTGGTTGTCATGACGATAAACGAGCCGTCGCATGTTGACGTCACGGACCAGTCACGATTAGAGAATCACTCAAAGCTCATCAGGTTAGCAGGCGTCTAAGTTGAAAAGAAAATTAGTTTCATTAGACATATTGACAACTCACATACAGTCAAATCTGCTTACCGGTAAGTATCTAACTGCATACAAAAATCACCTATGCCCCTCAGGGAAATAATTCATCTATCCTGCTTTTTTTCCTTTATTTTTCAGTTCCTTCTTTGTTTTCTTCTTCATTTTATTTCTTTTATCATGTCAATCTCACTAGTGAATGTCTGGTAAAGTTTATATTTGCCTAGTTTACATTGTAATATTTGCATTATTTTATACATTACAGTTTTATTTGTAAATTAATGATGTGTCAGCTTTTAGCTGTGACTTTTGTATCAATAAACCTTGTCAACTCAATTCTATCTTGGCTCCCTAATATTAAACTAGAGTCTCTAATCATGGCACTATTTATGCGTATATTATCAGTTTCTCTATTACAATTTTTTTCTGGGATTTTGTTTTGTTTTGTTTTGAACATTCAGATTACATAAAAGATAAGGCAATAAGAAGAAAAAGCAGGGATACCAGTTGGACTGACTTTAAACTTTATGAAAAGAGACTCGCACATGTCGAGGGCTCATTTGTTCTACAATATGGAGCCTAATTTTTGTTGACAGTACAGGTTTGCATGGCGAGAACATAACTTTAAGAGTAGATTTGAGGTAAAACTAGTCCTTAAAGCTTGTCTGCACTAATATGGCAAGGAGGGATTATACCTCCCTGCATGGTCACTGACAGGTGGTCATCTCTTCAAATCAGCTCTTAATTAACATAAGAAAAAGGGGATCATGGGGGACCAACGGGTACCGCGTAGGCATTGTTGCTATATAGAGGGCACAAGTAGCGATAAGTAGTGCAGTGGGGCTTTAAGGACTATCCACATGGTTGTACTTCAAATCTACTCTCTATATGGAACCTGAAGCGCCTTATAAAGCCCGAAACAAAGAGATCGTAGGGCTTGAAATAAGGCAAAAACCTGAAAACGGGTATCCCCAAGGACATACCTTTGGTCCTCTCTTTTTCTTTGTAGCTTCGTCAAGATTCCTGACCCACGCACAAGCCACCGAGTAGCTCTGTGCTTTGTACTTGTAGCTGTTACCTGAGGGAGAAAAGAAGACACAAGTTTTTATTAAAAGAATGTTTAAAGATAAAGTTGTTTTCTGGCCCGTTTCATGTCAGGCAAGGAAACCAAGCTCGGGCAATGATATCTGTGTTATGTTAGTAATGCATCAAAAAGACTATATCATGATATGTGCTATAAACAATAACTTATCATTAAAATTAATGTCAAACCTGCTTTAGTGACCACCTGTATGGAAAGACCACCTGTCTACAAAGACCACATTTTTTGTTTCCCTTGACAATGGTTTCTCATTGAAATATGTACTAAAGGAACCTGTACATACATGTAAAGACCACCTGCCTATAAAGACCACTTTTCTCGTCTCCCTTCGATGGTCTTTATAGACACGTTTCACTGTATCATCATTCTGATGTTACTACCCTAGGTAATTGCTAAATGCCTACAAAGATTGCTTCCTGTGGGACTACATACCTGTATTTGGATCTGTTAATAATATGACGTTACTGTGTTTGGTTTCGGGCATGGAAACCATCCAGTCTGAGATGGAAAACACCTTGCAAGGCTTGGATTTGAACTGGAGAGAAGAAATAGCAAAGAATAAAAGATGAGTTAAATACATGTATACTGAATTTCATTTTGTTTATGTATAAAAGTATGGATGAAAACTTAAATACAAAACAGTTTTGCAGGATGAGTAGACTCTTTATGGAACTCACTCACTCCCTCCCTCCCATCATTCCTTTGCTCTTTCCCCTGCCTCCATCCCTCCTTCCCTGTCTCCTTTGCTCCTCCCCCTGCCTCCATCCCTGCCTCCTTCCCTCACTCCCTCCCACACTCCTCTGCTCCTCCCCTGCCTCCATCCCTCCTTCCCTGCCTCCTTTGCTCCTCCATCCCTGCCTCCTTCCCTCACTCCCTCCCACACTCCTCTGCTCCTCCCCTGCCTCCATCCCTCCTTCCCTGCCTCCTTCCCTCACTCCCTCCCACACTCTTTTGCTCCTCCCCTGCCTCACTCCCTGCCTCCTTCCCTCACTCCTTTGATCCTCCCCTTCCTCCCTCCCTCCCTCCCTCCTTTGCTCCTCCCCCTGCCTCCATCCCTGCCTCCGTCCTTTGCTCTTCCCCTGCCTCCTTCCCTCACTCCCTCCCTCCTTTGCTCCTCCCCCTGCCTCCATCCCTGCCTCCATCCTTTGCTCTTCCCCTGCCTCCTTCCCTCACTCCCTCCCTCCTTTGCTCCTCCCCCTGCCTCCTACCCTCACTCCTTTGCTCCTCCCCCTGCCTCCTACCCTCACTCCTTTGCTCCTCCCCTTTCTCCCTCCCTCACTCCTTTGCTCCTCCCCTGCCCCCATCCCTGCCTCACTCACTCCCTCCTTTGCTCCTCCTCTGCCTAACTACCTCCCTCTTTTGCTCCTCCCCCTCCCTCGTTCCTACCTCCTTCCCTCAACGTCCTATATGTACTTGGCCACACAGATTTACCCAACTCATTCTCACACCCAACCCTATCCCCCACTCACGTGTGCTCTCTCTATTGAGTTGAAGGACTTGGCTGCGTAGTGGACCAGGTTGGTGCCCCATAGACCCACCCAGAATCTCGTCCAAGACGTCACAGAGAGCTTACGGCCGTCTTTCCTCCAAACATCCCACACTCCTTCCCTCCCTCCCTCCCTCCCTCAGCTCCTTCCCTCAACCTCCTAGAGATTCACCACACCTCCTACGTGCATTAGCCACACGGTATTACCCAACTCATTCTCACACCCATCCCTCCCCCCTACTCACGTGTGCTCTCTCTATTGAGTTGAAGGACTTGGCTGCGTAGTGGACCAGGTTGGTGCCCCATAGACCCACCCAGAATCTCGTCCAAGACGTCACCGATAGCTTACGGCCGGCTTTCCTAATCGGTTTCCTCTTCAGGCAAGCTGTGTGGGTGTCAGACAGGTAAATCAACAAGAGATATGAGAGATATGCTAAGGATGTGGTCCATGAATAATACAAGCACTCACCAACAATGGAATATTTTTTCTTTCTTTTGACATGAAACTAAACAAAGGTAGGGACTTTCAAATGTATAGAAAGCATATTTACAATGTATTTAATCTGATAATTTTTCTTCGTATATTATATTTTAAATGTTAGGTACACAAATTCTTCAAAATATGAAAAATGTCTTGTAACTACAAAAATTGTTAGGAAACATGTACATCAATTTTAATAACTTAATTCTAAAGTCTAACTAATGATTTTGTAAAAAAACTGAGGGAAAATAGACCTGAATCCTTAGAAAAATATACACATCCACATACAGCCAGTTTCATTAAAATTATCTGAAAATGTGTATACGCTGTTAAAAGTGTCTGACCAGATAGTACTCCATATTAATTTGATTACACATTTCTGGTATGATTGTAACTCACCATTTAATGTAAATAAGTTCTGAGGGATGTCGATGATACTGGAAACTAGATCCTCACAGCTCTCCGTAACACTCCTTTATAAAAATAAACAAAAATTATAGTTGCCTTTATTGCCTTTCTCTAAAAGAAACTTTACAGGGGATAAGAACAATCATGTGAAAGGAAGAACTGCAGATCTGTATAGAATTTCATATTACTCCAAGGACCATTATTTTATTGCATTGTAATTTGTATAATATTATATATGAATGTTATTACAATTTTAGACAAGCACATGCATGATTTGATTTCCCTGTTATGTGCGTATCAAATTCAAAAGTCAGAAATTCCAAGACTTAAATTGGAGTTTTGCAGGAGTACCTGCTATCACGAAATGCTAAAAACTAAACTTTGACCAGATACACTTTTATTGTGCTCTAATTGAAAATAAAATCACGCCATGTGACATTTTCACGCTTTTATGATGTTGTGTTCACATATGGATTAATATGGGATTGGTATCATTCATTTTCCCTTCAATACCCCATTTACCCCCCCCCCCCCCCCCACCCCAAGTCCCAAAGTCAGTACAAAGACCAAGGTAGTAATAATTAATTCTTGCCCTTTTAACATTTGAATGTTGATAGTAGACATCTGCGCGAGTGACTTGCCATGAGAAGCCATCGAGTGTGAGACTATTTAGGAGGTTTTACTCACCCGTTATTTAACCAGACATCCTGGTCATCACTGAACTCTGACCCTTCACTGCTTCCTGTGGTCAGATAATGTAAAGAAAGAGAGAGGGGGAGAGAGAAACAGAGAAAGAGAGAAAGAGAGAGAGAGAGAGAGAGAGAAAGAGATACATAAAGCAATAGAGAAAGAGAGATAGATAGATAGATAAAGAGAGAGATAGAGAGAGAGATATAGGTAAAGAGAGACAGAGACAGAGATAGATAAATAAAGAGATAAAGAGAGAGAAAGAGAAAGAGAGATAGATAAAGAGAGAGAGAGAGAGAGAGATAGATAAAAAGATAGAGAGAGATAGAGAGAGAAAGAGAGAGAGATAGATATATAAAGTGAGAGGGACATAAAGAGAGAGAAAGAGAGAGGGAAAGTAAGAGAGAGAGTAAATAGAGTACATAATTTGCAATGAAGACTGGAATTCAGTTTGATAAATGTAAGAAAAATTCAATAATTGTTTATCTAACTCATACAAGAGGCAGGGGGCCTCACAGAAAAATGAACTTTATTACTTCATGAAAGCCAGACTATAACAACAGCCCTAGTATAGGGTAAAAACAGAAATCTGCAAGTGCCTAATAGGGATATATTCACTTTCTTAGTACTCAGTTGAAATTAAGAAATAAACGATGAGTACTTGAAAAGGAAAATTCCTTCTAACCAAAGCATATATGAAGACTTTTTTCCCCTTCTTCATACTCATGATGAACATTGTAATATTTCCCTATATTCTGAAATCTTTTATTCTACTAGTGTCCATGTTTCTTTCCCCCCTAGTGTTCCCCTCATTCTCATTCTCATGTGTTTACGTCTAATTGCTCTGTATTGTTGTTCTATTGATGATGCACTGTTGCTTATATATTTTAAGTACATTGTTTTTATTGAGAGCAAAAATAAAGACTGAACTGGGGGGTGTTTCACAAAAATCCTAAGTTGAACTTATCTCTAAGTTGGACTTAAAAATTATGGAAAGCCATTAGCAATAATGAAAATATTTTGTAAAAGTTAATTTAAAAGGCAATAAATGTTGATTAAAATCATTCATATTTTCTATTATCAAGGAGATTTCATGTTCTTGATGTGGAACGAATAAAACGTCTAAAATACTTGAATTTTCGCTTTTGAATATATTTTATTTTAAGGCTACAAATGGCTCTCCATAGTATTTAAGTCCAACTTAGAGTTAAGTTCGAGTTAGGATCTTTGTGAAACACCCCCCTGAACTGATTGTGAAATTTACCTTCCATTGATTTACCTTCTATCGAGCTTGATACGGAGGGTCTTATCGATGACGTCGTCTCCTCTAACAGACTGTCATCCAGGAGGTGTCTGGGACCATTGCCGAAATTTGTGTTGGGAAAGCTGGGGGGGGGGGGGGGGAAATAACACAGAGAAAAAATCATGACATGTGCTGAATTAATTAAGCTCCTCATTATGACAAACATTCCTTCATAGCAGTGAATTTGGCATTTTAATGAAACTACCGTAAATCTCCGCGTATAAGACGCACCTGTGTATAAGGCTCACCCCTATTTTTTTATTTTTTTTTTAATTTTTTTTTTTGGGGGGGGGGGGATTCGTGCTTGTGAACTTGTCACAAATAATAGTAACAATGTCATTTTTAGAGGAATGTGTAAGATCATTAATGTAAATTAAAAACAGTAGAGTACCTAGGATAGACCCTTGTGGTATGCCGTGTGTAATAGAAGAAACATTTGAGGAATTATTGTTATAAACTACATATTGAGATCTATTAGAAAGATTACTTTCAAACCAAGATGACAGACAAATTTGAGTGTTGTTCTAGTTTCGGAGTGGTGAGTCAACACACCGATTACTGAGCTGGGAGGCATTGCCAGGCAGAGCAACAGGTGGAGGGGCATAAATCGAAACTAAAAAAAAAGACGCACCCATGACTTTCAATTTTTTTCGGCGGCAAAAAAGTGTGTCTTATTCACAGAGTTTTATGGTATGTTCAAGATCTAAGATTCAAGTTTTAATGACCATAATAATAAAGAAATTTGTATCCCATTAGTGTGACATACAATATACAGATAGGCATAAACATGATATTGTATGCTAAGAGCCAAATAACACACTTGGTTTATATTATCTTTACATGTAAAAAGAAGATTCCTATAGAAATAACCTTAGGTAGTGCTCGACGCTACTATGGTTAATCATAACAAAAAGGGAGACGTACCGGTACTATATTTTGTATCGGTTCATTTGACTTAAATCCTCACAGAAAGTTGCTTAAACCACAATTAATTCATTTTGTTTTTACAGATCTTCATAGGAAAATTGAATCTACTACTTTATTATGAATGAGTGTTTATTTCTATTCAAGAAGACACATGTACATGTATGTCATTGTGTGGGCATAGTGTTCACTACAAGAAATTTGTAAACACAGGAACTTACCTAAGAGGTTCTGCAGGTGCTAAGTGGTTTGGAACACTGGAAAAATAAAAATAATACAAACACAAGTTTTAATAAGTAAAAGAAGAAAATGAATGCTAGAAATCTGCAGATATATGGTTTATGATACTTTTAAGATTTAAAAATCATATGATTAGAATTATGTCGGTACATGTCCATTTCTGTGGAAGAAATGGACAAGCAAACAATCATTAAACTATCTACACATACTGCTTATAAGTATTGGCTTCCATGGTGATGTAGATATATATTAGGCTTACGGTTGCACCATGTGAGAGAGGAGGATTGGGGAGTTCTGAAAAGGACTGTCGGTAATGTTTCTTGTGTAGTCCTAGAAGGACTGTTGGTAACCTTTCTGGAGCTTATAGTTCTAAAAAGAACTAAAGTGCCGGTAGTAAGAGGTAGGTGGAGTGGTAGGAGGGGCTCGACGATTCAAACAGGTTGACATCCTGACGACGGATAGTCAACCTGTTGTTCAAAGCGTTAGAAATTATTGTCATTATGGACATATACTTCGATGTTTCTGTTTTAAATGGAACACTGCAAAAAATATAGTTCTAATTTAGTTACTGCTTACTTTGCGCCTAAGCTTTTTGTTTTCCGATGGCCGGGTACAAACTTTGATGAGATGACTGGCGTGGATGGGGTTGACTTGCCTATCGAACTCGTCTTCACGCCTCCTCCTCCCCCGCTGTCTATAGAGGGCAGAAGCACAAATAAAGACAGTTTTAAATACTAGAGTCAGAGAAAAGGGAAGATGATACACATATTGATAGTTATTCAAATTAATATAATAATGATAGAATTAATATTTATATTCATTTTAAAAAGACAATTAGTATTACTTTTCACATAAACATGATATATATATTTGTTGTACAGTGTATCGTCAAAGTTGTTTGGATATCTTGTTTTTTTCTGGTGCAAAACAGTCTCCATTATCAAAACCATATCATATTTATCAAATGGCAACATAAAGAAAAACTAAAATTAGGATTCTTTCAAAAACTTATGGACATCAAAATTATCATCAAAATAATTTGCTGCAATGACACTGATCGTATATTTAAAAGAGATTTGAAAACTAAAGAATATGATAATTTATCCACAAATATGGTTCCATTAAGCACTTGAACTGAAATTACCGGTACACTGTTAAAGCTACAAGAGAATAACATTAAATTTGTTTGATTATAATGTTCGAAACAAAATCATTATTATATCAAAATAACTTCATATCCTAAATGACTTGCATTTGTTGTTGTATTTGCATAATATGTACAGATGTATCATTTAAAAGCAATTAATGTTAGAGGTGGTACATGCATATGGTATACAAACAATCCAAGTTATATAAACTTGAAGCAAAGCACATTCAAATATATATGATATCCTGCATTCGCCCACTCATGCAAGGCATCACAATCCCATTGGGCGAATCACGCTCATTGACGCTACCATTAGGTCATGATATCGTTTTGAGCATTGTTACCAGACCCCACCTTTAATGTGTACCAATCACCTACAAATATTAGATCAAAATAATAATAAATCATATTTCTATAGCGCATAATTATACAAAATATGTCTCTATGCGCTTTACATTGTATTATGCAAAAGTTTAATTCATTACAAATCTGTACGGTACATGTATGTGATGGGTTTCACAGCACTATACTATACATGTATTTGAGTTATAAATATCACTTCTATAAGAAATATTGCAAGTTGTACACCCTCAATTAACTTAGAAACATCTTGTGAATAACTATGAGCTCCAAATATTACTTATAAAGAAATATTGCAAGTTTTGATAAATTGTAAACTCTCAATTAACATAAAAAACGACTAGTGAATAGACAAGTCAACACATCTGAATGCGCTCATAAAGAATAAGGCTTGTATAGAACCCAAGTCCGATTTGAATTCTGCGCACAAATTCTTTGTCATTCCTAAATATGCACAAGGTTTTATGCTATTATTTATATTCTTCATACTCCCTAAATGTTAACCTTTAGAACACCGAGTTTGAGACTGATTTCATTCATTCTAGCGGTACACAGATTAATTTTATTGGGTGATAGGTACACTTTAAAGCAAAGGCATCAAATGGAACATTTCTTTCATTCACACCCCGCATGCAAGGCATCACTGAATCCCTTGAGTGAATCAAGCTCAATGAGGCTTAATATTGCAAGCTATTATTAGGTCACAGGGTAATTTTAGGCAACAGATTAATCACATCGCCACACCCCCTCATGGGTTCGTTTTGAAAACAAGGGGTTATTTCGGAAGCGTGATGATGTGAAGAGGTTGAGTCAGGCGGAAAGAACAAGGGCAAATGTATACAGGCGTTGAGATAGTGACATGAGGCTGAATAAAGCGTTGATGAATTTCTTTGTATTTGACAGGAATAATGATTAATTACATGTACAGCAGTTAACGATCCCAATGCCTAACTTATGTATTTTGCTTTTGGTACATGATTTTCAGGGCTCACAAGGCATCGAGCTACACTTATCTTAGAGCCCTGGCCAGTTCTGTTTAAACAAATAATAATAATAAAAGCAGTACTTATAAACTTAAGCACTTTCCACCGAAGTTCAGTAGTTTATATTTCTCCATGTATGTTTTAATGTATGCTGATTTTATTATGTATTCAGAACTGAAAAAATAAAAATGAAATTAAAATGTTCTATGAGAGTCAATTACTATGCATCCACCCACTGCCTACTAGAAACGGGTTGTCCCTGTATTAAAACTATAGAGTACCGAAGCTGTGACGTCATAAAAATCTATCTTTAGAATTTCTCAATTTTTTCTTCATTTTCCGAAAGAGCATCAAAAATAATGTCCGAATGTCGAAAAACCAATTGAATATGTTCAGTATTGGCTAAGATATGACCATCTAAATAAATATATGTTTTATGGGAACTCAGTATTATATGCTCTGGCTCCTAATGGTTAGGCATTGTCAAGGCATTGGGATGGTGAAATGGTTCTGGGTTATGTAATGTTTAATTTCTTTTTGCATTTGAAGAATGATTCAACATTTTGTTCTGAGAACGGGCAGGGTGTTAACTCTGTGTTTAAATGAATATAGCTTCCTTGTGACTATTAGCAGAGGATGTAGAGTTGTAATGAATGCACTCCACGAGTCATGAGAGTTAGATTTACATTATGTAATGAGATTAGAAGGATTAACAAAATGTCTGCCGCACTAATCGACAGTCAAGCAAACATTCAGAAGAAACTAAGATTTTAAAATTCCCTTTTTTTATTGGATAATCATTGCAAAAAATAAAAAATAGGCATGTTATTTATATCTATTACATTAAAAAGGTGCTTTTGATGATGTAGACAGATAACTTAATCCACAAATCATGACCCTAAAGGTTTGTTCAGATATGGCACTGTATACGGCCTCAAAAATGCTGCCACGTCTTTTACATGTAAATGAATGGCAACAGCGCGCAGCACAGGACTTGCACGCATTCACTGAGCTTTGTGGTATAAGATACGAAAATGTGAAGCATATCACACTTTAAATCATTATTGAAGAAGAAAAAAACGCTGGAGTTTTGCCACGTCATATCTAAACAAGCCTTAAAGGTATTACAAAGTTTTGGTATGGGGTCATGAATTTTGTTCAAATTAACATATTGGAAGCATATGCGATCCTACAATATTCATTGATTGTTGTCGCAGTTGAAATCGAGTCTAAATTTATGAAATTATAAATAATAAACACTTTATGTTGTATAGCTCCCTCTCAAGGTCAAGATATTAATTAAGCTATGAAACAATGTTTCTTGACTAAAATCGACCGATTAGCTATTCCCATTTGGAAATTATATATCACAACTACATATTCTGAGATTTTCATGGTCGCAGCTATCATTGTACGGCCATAGGCGCTATTTGAAATTTATCAAAATTTACCGGGAGCACCGGTAAATTTTAATATTCAATTTTTCTCGAAAAACAAGTGTTTTACGGGCTAATTTTTTAGTGCTTATAATACATCCACAGGGGCATCCAAATATATCAAAATTGTAAAGATTCACTATCCACCCAATTTTCAAAATTTCCCAAAACTTTGTATTACCTTTAAGGAGAAGTTATCATATATGAACACAATTTTGTAATACTTCTTTTCAGCAACTCTCTAGTATATTTATTTGCAGCTGTGAACAGTAAACGTATTTTAGCAATCCTAAGGATTAATTGCACAAGGGCTAATGATGCTCTAACGAAAGAATTCTCAGTTATTTTTAGTGCTTCTCTTTGTGGCCTTCTTTAATTGTGATGCTCATAAACTATTTTTGTCTGTTGGTTAGACTGCAGTGCTACTTATACAATTCTTTGCTCCACCCTGTCTGTAATACATTACGCTTTTTTCTATGAATAGAAGTTAGATTTAAAAGTAAATGCAGATTAAGGATATAGATTAGCAAAGTATTAACACACTTTAACTAACACCGCACATGATTTGAGTTAATCCATATATGTACATGTACATGTACAGAGCTGCCAACCTTGTGCAACCAAAAAAAGGAATTCATAAAAACAAAACTTATAACCATGCGCGACAAACTTCCAATGCAGAAATGTTCATTCATCATGCTGTTTTTTCCATACAAGCAGGAATTTTTTTTGGTGGTTATTTTGGTATTATCGGCATTTTATTTATATAAATTTTATAAAATTAGTTTTCTATTGAATTTGTGGTCAAATCACCATTTTAGGGCAGTTGTTTGACGTACGGTATGTAAAAAAAAAATTAAAAAAAAAAAAAAAATTAAAATTAAAAAAAAAAAATTAATAAAAAACATATTTTATGAAGAAAAAACGTAATACAGTAATTGGTAGGAAAAAACGGAGTAATTCCGGCAAAAACGGAATGGTTGGCAGCTCTGCATGTACATGTATGTATTTGATGGATGAGAGAATAAATGAAGGTTTCATCCATTTTGTAAAACATCTCTTTCAATGAAAGTGAAATTATAAAAACAAGATAAGTTTCACGTGTTAGGTATGGATAATAAATGCATTCATAGACTTTGAAAGTTGATAGAAAGAGAGGAAAAGAAAGGGAAATTTGCATAAGTTTGGTACTAAAAGGGGGGGGGGGGTGCGTAAGGAAGGATACATATTTTTTGTTATAATGTTGTGATCAAGGGAACAAAGAGTGGCAAAGTGAAGAGCACAGAATAATATTTTTAAAGACCAACCAACCACCCAGAAATTTGGAAGAAAAAGATGATGAAAGAATGTCAGTTTTAGAAAGCGGATACAATTGCAGCGTTTGAAGCAAATAAGTGACTGAATTTTAAAATGACCTCAGCAGTTTGTATGAAAAATTATGATGGCTACATTATGATCTACCGGTACAATGATGTAATTTTTGAATGAAAATTGCTTAAAATGTTATGATGGAACTTGGACTAAATCTATGGAAGAATGAAGTTATTGGAAAATTACTATGAAGCCAGTAAGGGATGAAATGATTTGAATTTTGATGGATAAAAAAAATGTGTGAAATGACAAAATCTTCTCTAAATTCCACTACATACCTGATGAATTAGATAGATTGAGAACAGGAGGAGTACAAAATAGGGAAACCGTCTGGACTTCTAATAGTAAAAAGGCAATTTCATGGAAAGGAGGAGAAATAATAAAAGGATATAGACCACACATGACATAAAGTACTATACACTGTATTGTATGCGTTAGTGACCACCTGTATAGAAAGACCACCTGTCTACAAAGACCACATTTTTTGTTTCCCTTGAAAATGGTTTCTCATTGAAACATGTCCTAAAGGAACCTGTACTTAAAGACCCCCTGCCTATAAAGACCACTTTTCTTGTCTCCCTTGGGTGGTCTTTATAGACAGGTTTCACTGTAATAATTATGCATTCTCTGGAAATCATCTCTACTTTAGCTATATCTTCCAGAAGTAAATGACTAGGATTCATTTTTACAATTAATAAATCATTAAGAGGATAAATTAATTTGAAATCAACACATGCAAGGTAAAATTGGAAGTTACATGTATGATATAATAAAAACTAATAAAAAAATTATAAAGAGGTAGCAGGGTTATTATTATAGAAATAAAATCTGAAAAGTTAATTTAGATCAGTTATTTTAATATTAACAATGGTTTATGAAAATCGATAGAATACATACCAAGGACTTCAATGTGCGACAGGAGATTTTAAAAATAAATAAAGTGATGTTTTTCTTATATATTTCTTTCTATTTTGAACTACATGTACATGTATTTTCGATGAAATATTACTTGTATTTCATCAAGATTTATTGACAAAATACGTGTAAATATACTGATGGATAATCCATCATCTACATTGGTTTCAAGACCCACTTAAAAGGGAATAATTCTTTACATGAAGATAGGGTTTGAAATTTGCTAGTATAGTGCAAGGCAATTTTTTTAGCACAGTTTGTATTAGACATTCAATCCTTTTCTTTTTCCTTATTTTCAATATTTACTGACAATAGAAAAAAATAGTCTGAATCGGCAAGGAGAGTCTATTAATTTTGCTAGAGAAAGCACCCCCCCCCCCCCCCGAGAAAAAAAATAATTTTGAAATCCTAGAGACATAATGGACAGAAAATTGGCTAATATACATTTAAAACATATTACACTAACAAAACTATAATTTCTTAGAAAATAGGTTCAGAAAAGAATGCAAAGATTAAATTTTATTTAACTTTTCTTTGTATTTATTAAAAAAAGCAGAAGCCCTCCTAATGAAGTTGGCTGGAACTAAGAATTAACAAAAAGTACGATATAATCTAGATGGAGTGTCAATAAACTGAATTAGATTGTCCTATAAAATTACAATAAGCTATATTAAAATCGCTAGAAAGCATTATTTCCCTTCACCATGAAGATAGCTATCATTAATTTGATAAGAAGGCAATTGCTGTAGAGTATTGAGTAAATATTAATTGTATATCATTCCCAAGATAAGGACTTTCAGAATTTTAGTAACTTTTTGCCATCGTTTCATCTTTTGAGAAATGTACTATATTGTGTTAGAAAGATATAGGATACAAATATTTTTCAATATAATCAAAAGCATTCCCATTCGTAATAACATACACGTAACGGTACATTCAAAACATATAAACATTAACAATAACAAAGTCTAAATATACATAGTGCAAGCAGAAAAGGTCAAACAATACAAGCACAATATGCATGGTCATTCAAATACGAGTTATAACAATCTTTCATATATTTTCAATCAAATGATCTACCATTCCTGGTCTAATTTCAATACTCCAAATTAAAGTTATGTATGTTTACATTCTATTTCAATACATACTTGATTGTAATTGTTATGAATATATTGTTGTTGTTTTAGTTTCTTACCTGTTTGGTCAAGGTCGTCTTTTGACTTTGATAGCACTGTAGGTTCCAGTTGTAATGAAAGTCTACCAAGTGATCACAAAATAATTGTTAACATAAATTGATTTACAAGTATATCAGCTATACGATTATCAAGAGTACAACCAAAAAATGATATATATTCACAAACAAATAGTTAGTATTAAAAAAAAGTCAAAGGCAGGCTATCTTTTTAAACTGTGAATTTTAAAGAGTTATTGTGAATTTGATTTATTTCCAATTATTCATTTTTATTTTCATTTATACAGGGTTGCATTGTCTGTTAAATGTCTGGTTTCTAAAAGGGCCCTTTAAGTACATACAGAATATGCATCAAGAATGAAATCACACAAGAATCAATTGCTGGGTTCTATAATACCAAATAATGATTTTAAGACACAAAATGAGGGGCCATATGCCAACTGTGCTTGCGATAGGTGAGTCTTTTATTGAAATAATACTCACTTGTAGTTGTCTTCCTCCACAAACTTCTGCAGCTCTTCAATATACCTCACTGAGAGAAGGTACTTCTGGACGTATGGCAAGTTTTCTAAGTCGTACTGAGACTGTTGGAACTCGGATATTGCTCTCAAGATGTTGTTCATCTGAAGAGAGTAGAAGGAAGAGAGAGAGAGAGAGAGAGAGAGAGAGAGAGAGGGAAAGAGTGAGAGAAGGAGGGGAGTGCATGAAAGAAAATTGTAAGTCAAAGATGGTTTCAAATTCATTTGAATTATACGAAGCTAGCACCCTAGCAGACAGTGTTTCCGCAATGTTGCCCATGAATAAATAAATTCTTATGCTTATATACAAATTTAAAAAAAATTGTAATGTTATCTGGCTCTGAGGCATGGCGAAATTTTCTGACCTCCACATCAAGTGGATTGTTAAGTTTGACTCACTTTTTGTTGATCTACTATTACTCTCAATGCCTCCTGTACTCGGATGTGCAACATCGATGTAGATCAGATCTTGTAGATACATTCCTGCAATGAAAATAAAACAAGAAAATGTAGAAAAAATGGTCATTAACAATATTTTTAATACCACAGTAAAGGAGGAGAATGGAATGTTTTGAGAAGGTTATCGACATAATACCCAACAAAAGCATCACTTGTTTAAAATAAGGCTGTTTTTCTGAATCAATGGTTTAGGAGTAGAGTCATATGATGTTGCATGCTGGAAAGGCATACTATTTAAAGGTCAAGCATGTTGGTGTTTCATTGACCTAGTTTTAACATTGAAATGTACAAGGTACAGAGGAGTGCTAAACAAAATGTACCAAGTGTTTGTATGTATGTTTGTTTGTTTTACCCGACTGCTAGGAAAGTATGTATATGCTTGTAAGTAACCAACCAGGGGACCAACAGCTAAACATCTCCTCTGAGGGACTTGGTAATGAGGATTAATGCCTTACCAAAAGGTGAGGGCGCATTGACTTGGTTTTTTAACCTGGGACCTCCCTGTTACAAGACCACTGCTCTACCACCGAGCCATCACACCTCATATGAACTCACAAAGGATGTACAAGATAACCAGATGATATTCATGTATTCTCCGAGGGGATGGGGGAGTGATGAAAGAGAGGGGGTGGAGGAGAGGGAAATAGGGGAGAGGGGGAGAGGGGGAGAGGGGGAGAGGGGGAGAGGGGGAGAGGGGGAGATGGGGGGAGGAGGAGAGGGAAATAGGGGGAGAGGGGAAAGGGTGAGGGGAAGAGTGATGGGAAGAGAGAGGGGGAGGGAGAGGCAGAAGCAAGACATAACAACGTTCAAAGTTATGGTATACAAGGTAACCTACATGCATGTCCATGTAATTTCTAAGAGGAGGAGGGGAGAGGAGAAGGGAGGGAAGAGGAGGGGAGAAGAAGAAGGAAGAGGGGGAGGGGAGGAGGGGAGAAGAGGAAGGAAGAGGGGGAGGGGAGGAGGGGAGAGAGGAGGGGGAGGGGAGGAGGGGAGAGAGGAGGAGGTGGGATGAGGGGGAAGAGGTGGGAGTAGAAGTAGGGGAGAGGAGGAGGGGAGAGGAGGAGGGGAGAGGAGGAGGGGAGAGGAGGGGAGAGGAGGAAAGAGGAGGGGAGAGGAGGAGAAGGGTGGGAGTAGAAGTAGGGGAGAGGAGGAGGAAGGGTTGGGATGAGGGGGAGATGGTGGGTGAGTGATAAGGGGAGAGGAAGCAAGTCATATGAACTTACCTAGGTATGGTATACAAGGTAACCTGACTACGTCCATGTATTCTCTTAACCTCTGTCTGTTATCATCTTCCGTCATCAGCTCAGAGAGCTTCTCACACGTCGCTCTTTCCTTTTTATGAACCAGCTGAAATGACAAAATGGAGTCAAAATGGTGAAAGATTCTGACATCAAATCATTCATTCATTCACACATGAACTCATTCACTCAATAATGCATAAACCTATCCATCAATTCATTTAGTCATCCATTTTTGAAATTTCATGTTTCTAGGCAATGATGTACATGTATATGGTAATTCCACATGTTTTTACAAAATAAAAATGTGATATGTGTGTTTCTTTCTCATAACTATGCTGTTTGCTTGTACGAAAGGATTTTCCAAAAATTCAAATCAATTTAACTTAATTTATTTATCTGAATGAATCGATACATTTCGTTATATTTTAGTATTAGACAAAAAATAAAAAAACATCTTAAAGTAGAACTATGATATTGTGACTATTGGACCCTCAAGAAGAACAGTATCAATGAGGCTAACTTTGGTAGAAATATGACTAAATTACTGTTATTATCATTATCATTGTCTTTTATTAAAGTCAGCATTTTCCCTCTTATAAGGGGTTACCAACTTCTGTGCAATGATGACACTCCCTCCCTCCACTTCTTCTCGTCTCGAGCAGCCTCCTTATTTAGACCTACCTTACTGCTTTCTTTTTCACCAAATCTTTCCATGAAATCTCAGATTTTCCTTTTCCTCTTTAATATGCCAGCAGTGAAACCTGACTATAAAGACCACTCAAGGGAAATCTCTACAGACAAGTGGTCTTTTGTATAGATTCCTTTTAGTACATGTTTCAATGAGAAAACATTTTCAAGGGAAACAAAAAATGTGGCATTATAGACTGGTGGTCTTTATAAACCGGTGGTTGCTAAAGCAGGTTTGACTGTACTTACATTCCACGTTTTGGTTAACCTAAAGATAGATGCACTGTGTAACGCTGAGATGATCGCCATTGTCGCATGAAGATTGTTGATATCAAACAGTTTCTAGGAGGAACAAAGAACAGGTGAAAAACACGATTTGATAGGAAATGTATACTACCAAAATATTTCATAAAGTATAAATATTCTCTGAGTAAACAAAATTATCGAAAGTGCAAAAATGATCATTTGTCTAAACTAATATTTCTATGGTAAAGTACAGCATCTGCAAGTACCTCGCATTCTATTTTTGGATCACGCTATCAGTCTATTGTAAATTTTACTTCAGAGAAGTGTGTGTACATGTATTACAATATACAGTATATAAAAAAAATGCCTTACCAGAATTTTTTCATTCTTTGTTTGATTAATAACATAAATAAAACAAATACAAAATCAATTCTTAAAAAATTAAAGTGGCATAAATCACTATCTTACCTTTGCTACTTTGATGAAATGACCTATGACCTCTGCTCTGGCCTTGGTCATCTGTGTTATGAGGACTTCATGGACGACCCAGAAACTCACCTACATCGTTACATGAAAAAAAGGGGAAAAATAAAGATTACATTTTATTTTGAATAATATACATATGGTATCAAAACAACTTAATTATCCATACCCTTACAAAGTTTTGTAATCTTTAATTATATGAAAAATTGTTCATATTCAACCAGTCAGCCTTTCATTCTTTAAACCAAAACACGAGAAGCATCATATTTTCAAAGGGTATGAATAGTTCAGTTGTTGAGTAATGTGTTATGACTAGGCTTAGTCACAATGACATGAAATTACGCCTCAACCCTCTATTTTTAAATGTTCGATTGGCATGGTTACGAAAGAGGTGTAATGTTCTACGTGAGCACCAGACACTCATGTCTGGTTATTTCTTCCAGACCGGCAATTCTTTTTCATACCTACTAAACCTTACAACTTTGCTTTTTTCAGGTAAATGTACATTGTATTAGATGCTGCCACTCCTGATGATGGATAGTCAACCTGTTCGAAACGTCGAGCCACTCCGTTCCCTCATCCTCTCCAAGCGCTATAGTTCTCCTTATAACTATAAGCTAAGAAAGATAACCAACAGTCTTTTTCAAGACTACACAAACAGTCCTTTTCAGGAATACACACCCTCAAGAAAGATTACCGAGAGTCCTTTTTAGGACTCCTCAATCCTCTCTCTCTCTCTCTCTCTCTCTCTCTCTCTCTCATATACATTGTATTAGCAAACAAATTGTGATTCACCAATTAAAAACAGAAAATCTTTCAGTTTCATCCCCAGTCTGAATACTGTACTATCAAAAGAAAGATTCAGAATTATGAAAAATAAGAGCCATTCTTTCGTTTTGCACAAAATACAAAATATATGTTACTTTGACTGTAGTTATACATGTATGAAATTCCCTCTGGTTTTATGTACCACTACTTTAAAGATGAAGTTGAGTTCTGGTCATGCGATTGCATTGTGAAAGAAACGGTGTGGAACCGACCAGAAAAGGTTGATCATCCAGCATATAAGAATTTGTGTGTATTGCAAGGTTCTGGAATCATCAAAATGATAAGAAATTTGGCCAAGTCTTGGTAAAGTTACAAACACTTGCACAGAAAGATGTAAATGGGACTACACGAACACGTGGCGTAAAAAGCCGGCCCCCGATTTTTACGATGTTACATGCATATTTAGAATATAAAGGCATTTGAAGAGCCATGCTTTTCAGGGAACATGTCTTAACTGATGTTCTTCCACACTTGCATAATAAGAATGAGTAATGCTCACAAATTATTTTTCACCTCTTCCCAGAACTCAACCTTCTCTTTAATCAATTAGATCTCATAAATGTTCACAACTGAATGCCAGACCACCTTGAATCTATAAAAAAAATATTTTACTAAAAATTAGGGGATCATACATGTATTACAATATAAAAACATGAGAAGGAAACATATTGGATTCATGGAGAGATGATTTTCCTCTGCATAGCGAAGTCTAGTTTGCATTAGAACAAAAAAATACCCCGGCTTGCATGAAAAACAACCTCACATCCATCAAACCTCCTCCTTGACGTCACTCATTAATTATAGCAAAATCCTGACACAATGCGTCACCCTGCAGCCCTTTTCTATTTTTTTTTTAAATATCACAACTAAAGACAGATTTGTGGGTATGTAACACTACAATGACACCTGCTCTAGTGGCTGTGCTTGCATCCTAAAATGGGGGAAAATGTGAAAAATAATCTGGGCAGAAAAGGTCATAGTGACTAATTCCAGAGTTTGGCAAAACCATGAGTGATACTGTTTTTTTTTTTGGGGGGGGGGGGGAGGGTAAGGCACCTCTGAAGTTTTATTTGGCCCAAACATTTTCCATGCTCATTGTTCTGGACCCCATTTCATAAAAATTGTTACCAATAGCAAGTTTCAATAACTGTTATAAGCTAAAGAAATAGTTGCATCTGATTGGTTGAGAGCACATTTGGTGTAGAAGTTTATAATTTGTCATTAATAACAAGTTTTGTGAAACAGGGCCTTGATGTATAGGGTTCAAAGTCGAACATGTCAATGCACTATTAATTGCCATTTGGTAGTTGGTACAGTAACCTATCCTAAATTAGCAAGTCCCTCGTATAGGATGTAAAACCATATATGGAGGTCCACTGGCTTTTTTAAACTACAAGCAAAATTAACAGCCAGGTGTTAGAAATAAGCACCAACATTAGCAGCAACAAAAATCTTTCTAATCATCATCAATTTCTTATATATAGTTAGATTTAATTGAAACTTTCATCAGTTTGCTTCTCTGATTCTTCTGCCTTCTTTTAGAGTAGTTGTCTATTTGGGTTGGATTTCCCTTTAATCCATTGACTACCGAATTCAATCATTTCTATAGGCTTTAACTATGGGAGCAACAGTTTACATGGTTACCAGAAGCAATGGGTTAAACTGTCTTCAAGATGATGCAAGCAAGCATCCTCCCCAGGGCACGACACCTTGAAGCCTGCCCTCGTGTTTGTTGTCGAGGGGCCGTCGGAAACGGAGCGCCGTAAATTTTTGAAGGCGAATCCATCACATGCTAATCACGCATGCATCCATCGTGGCAAATATCAAAACATGTTTACTAGCTGCTTTGAAATATTGTGATGGATCTTTCACCCAGGGCACAAGCACACAAGGGTTTAACTCTAATATGATGTCATCGCACATTTATACATGTTTATTTTGTGAGTTACCTTCCACAAGTAAATGGATTCAAGCATTGCTTCTGAGTTTTGCAAGAAGAAAGAATGAATCAAAGATCATCTTGCATCGAGTGTATGCTCTCTTGCTTACGATAGATATGATATATCGCCCTTAAAGCCCCTGCTAAAGTGTTGGGAGCCCCAAATTCGCCAACAATTTGATGGCAAAATTGCACTTAAATTGTATTATAATGTGAAAGAGGATGTCATTTAAGACACACTCCTGCACAAATGCCCCCCCCCCACCAAAAGAAAAATATATATATATTTTTTAAGACAAATGTTAATAAAAGAATACACACTATTTAGGTTTTCTGTTGAAATAGAAAACCTAAATTTTGTATTATTTCATCAATATTTAATTTCAAACACATTTGTTTTGAAAATCCTTGCAGAAATGTGTTTTAAATGACATCCTGTTTCACATTATGATACAATTTAAGTGAAATTTTTCAATCAAATTTGTTTGGCTCCCAACACTTTAGAGGGGCTTTAACAAAGGTATCTATGTTAACAATGGTAATAAACTGACAAAACTCACCTGATTAAATCTTTTTGAGAAGGCAACAATGTTTGGACAAAGGTTATTTTTGGACTTTCCCGACCATGCACAGCTACTAAGCTCCTGGAAAATACACAAAAGAAGAGATGGAGAAAGATACGGTATATGTCATTAAGGATCTGTTACACAAATGATTTTAGTATGTATCCTTGGATATGGCGGCACATTCTGTACTCTCCTTAGCTCTTACGTCACTTGACATTTAAAGTATAATAATTTATTAAAGTGATAATTATTCATCTCCAGGTTAGATATAAGAGTAAAATTACATTTTTATCTTGCATATACATATAGGGTTTCTCTTAGGATATGTGAGATTTCCTAGAGTGGTTTACATTCTTTTTGTGTTTTTATCTAATGTCTTTTTAAATTACAAATCTAGCTTGGAGCTATCCATATCATAAATGCTATCCAATCGTTGGTACATGTATTCTTGTGTTCACCATATTATCTCAAAACCATCTCTTTGAATATGTAACACCTTGAAACTTGAAACTATTATAATGCATTTTTACCACCAGATAAAATCAATATTATGTCTTCATAGCTAGGCTGATAGAAACTGAGCCGGTTCATTCTTGTGTAATTGAAAGTCATCAGTATTCTATACATGTATCACATGTTTACTTTCCATTTATCCGGTCTTTTCCTTTCATAGTCTTCAACGATTGATGGTGTCTTTAAACACCTCCTGCATTTACTTAATGAGCAAACAGACGGCTGAGTGAGGATTCAATTATCACCGCTCCTCATGCAAGACCTGTGCCAATGACACATAAAATCCAGCCACGAGGACTTCTGTATATCGAGCTAAGAATGAGGAAGGGGGGGGGGGGGGGGTGGGGAGGAGGTGGGGGGGGGGTGGTTGTAGGGGAGGGGATGACAAGAGACAATCACATGTACATGTAAATGTACATGTAGAGAGACGGAGAGTGAGAGGGGAGGGAGCATAGAGGGAGGGCAGGTGAGGAGGAGGGAGACAGAAAGGTTGGAAGAAAGGGAGAAAGAGAGAGAGAGAGAGAGAGAGAGAGAGAGAGGGAGAGAGAGAAGGAGAAGAGAGAGAAGAAAGAGGGGATAGGGGGAGGGGGAGGAGGTGTGTATGTGTGTAGGGGAGTAAAAGACAGAAACAATCACATGTAGAGAAAGGGAGCGTGAGAAAAGAGTGAGAGAGAGGAAGAGGGGGAAGAGGGAGGGATGACAGAAGGGGGACAGGAGGGTCGACAGAAAGGGAGGGAGAGCGAGAGAGACAGAGAGAGAGAGAGAGAGAGACAGAGAGATGCAGAGAGAGAGAGTGGAGGATGTATGTGTGTGTGGAGAGGGGGGAGGGGGGGTACTTGGCTCACTTCTTTGTCCATGGCCAATTTGGATCGTTACATTGGGAAGGGAAATTAAATAATTGGATCCAAATTGGTCGTCAGACTTGTCTCATTAACCCTGCATCACAGTGTGTTCCTGAGGTACCGGCTTAAATAATTTGCGCAAAGCTACTGTCTGTCTTCTTAATCTACCCACATCCAACTTTTCCATTCCAAGTACTTTGAAAATGCAAAATCTACTGTAATGTTTCAGTCAAAGCACTCCACTAGCTCCCCCCCCCCCAAAAAAAAAAAAAAAAAAAAAAAAATTCTTCATATTTAATACATTGGATGGTTTTGGTATTTCAATTAATATTTGTCATCATTGGTTGAAATTAAATCACTATTATAAACTTCAATAGGCATGTTTCAGTTTCAGTTTTCAAAATCTAATTATTGTAAACTAACCCACCAACTATTCTGAATTTTGAACACCTGACTAATTGTTACTCTCTCGTACCTGCATTCATACTTTATCTAACTTTCTACCTCTTCTTCTAATTCAATCTTTATCTCTTCTGTCCTTCATTTCCCTGTCTTTTTCATTTCCATGCTTTAATTTTAATGCTATTTTGAATTTACTTTATCAATTTTTAATGTATCAATTTTTAATGTATTGTATTTAATGTAATATTTTTATCTTTTGTAAATTCAACTTGTTTCAGCATTATACTGCAGTTTTGAATGTACATGCACGTTTTTTAATCAATTAACCATTTCAAATCATATAAAATCAATTATGTACTCACCTCTGATGTGATTGCTTTGAATGCTGGTATATCCAACAAAGTGATTTGAGTCTGGAAATTAAAATGGAAAAAAAAAATGAAAGATGAAGACCAGTTATGGTCATGCGATTGCATTGTGAAAGAAACGTTGTGGAATCAATCAGAAAAGGTTGATCATCTAGCATATAAGTATTGGTGTGTACTGCAAGGTTCTACAATCATCAAAATGATAAGAAATTTGGCCCAGTCTTGGTAAAGTTACAAGCACTGTACACAGAAAGATGTATATGGGACTACTGTGACATGTGCGCGACATGTGCGTTATATCTATCAGGTCCAAATAGATATAATAATTTACCAAATATATCAATTAGTAGGCAGTTTCTCGGCAGAATTTGTATGATCACGTATTAGTCAAAACATATTCTTTCACATGATAAGTAATAAGAGCTTCCATTTCATTTGTTGAGAGGGAGGGGGTGGGGCGTTTCCAAAACTGGTCTTTAAAATTGTACCGGTGTGTTGGCGTTAAAAGACGGGAGTTGCTGCTACCTTGTTTGGTGTTAAGGAATAGAGCAACGTCGATCTCGCGCTGCTCAGTGGCTGCCGGGCTCACGATCAATTGGGCAAAAAGAATTTCCATTTTCGGTTTAACTTAATAAAATTTGGAGTGAACTTTAAAGATTATTATTATTATTTTTTACCTTTAACAACATACAATATCATGACAAAGTACATCAAAAATGTGAGAATTAATTTCTCTCTGTCAGTCTGTCTCGGTCTCTCTGTCTCTTTCCTCTCTATCACTTCCTCCCTCACTCTACCCCCCTCTCTCCCTCCCTCCCTCCTTCCCTATCTATCAATCTATCTATCAATCCATCTATCTATCTCCCTCTCCCTCCCCTCCCTTTGCTCTCCCTCCCTCCCCCTCCCTCTCTTCCCCTCCACCCCCCCCCCCTCTGGCCTCCCTCCCATATCCATCTGCCTCCCATTCCCATCTGCCTCCCTTTCGTATCATATCAATTTGATCTACCAGAGAAAGGGGGAAAACCCTAGCAGACATGGCTCATCTGCTGCCTGTGACGGTTATTATTAGTCACAAGATTTTATTGCTGGTTCCTGTGCTTATCAAAGTTGGCTGGGCCATCAAGTTCCTTGATCAAGACATGGTACATCTGGTTTGACATACTGTAGAGAATGCTATAAATTGCTCAGCCTCAGTAGCATCACAATCACTCAGACAAAAACTGACAGAAGACTGACGACAGACTAAACAAAATTTTACATCACCCCGAATGGCCAAGAATTTGAGTCAGTTTGGTGGTGCGAGAGACATACTGTATAAAGCGTCATTCAGAAATGATGCATTACACCGCAGGGTTTTGTTTTCTTCTTTTTTCATTTCATTTTGTTATAGTGACATAAGTGTAATAAACTTGGCATTTCTATATCATATAACACAGTATTAAAGTGACAATGTGTAAGACCTTTGTTGAATGCAATTGCCATACTAATAAAATAACAATCCAGAATAAATCATAGCAATTTTTTCTCAACATACGGTTCCCATACCAAAGCTTGATCATGAATAGCTTTAACGTAAAAAAAGAAAAGAAAACAATTTTGTAAAGCAAGCCAAATCAACCTTTCTTGGGACCATGTGCACATGGATGATATATAAAACTAATATTCTTCTGTGAATCTCGATTTTGGTGACCTTGGCAATACTAAACACAGAGAGCACAGCCAATAATCTTGGTCATTCAAAGAAATGCACCATTTGAACTGCCTTCAGGATATAACTAACCCTTGTTATATTTTTGATCAATGAAATCCTGTTCAGTAATTGGTCAACAAGGCATCATGATACCAAACATAACAATGCTATGATGTAACCGTGACGTCATCCATGGTATAGTGCACTATACCATAGCACTATACCATGGATGACGTCATATATATATATATATATATATATATATATATATATATATATATATATGTGATCGATCAAGATCAATGTGCTATCGGTCGCGGTACTCTCCACTACTTCAGTGATATTATTATTATTATTATTATTATTATCATTATTATTTTTATGAAGGTTGGTTTGAAAAATATATCATGCACTGTTTCCAGCCAACCTCAGAAAATAGTGCTATTCCTGCCACCTCGATCCATAATTTCAACTAGAGCCTCTCAGTGCATGGTATATTTGTTTACTATCGCCAATATTTTCTTCACAAAGAAAATTTTTAGGTTTGATTGCAGTTCAAAAATCAATTCATCATTATAAATGCTCTATGTGTAAATGAACCTATTGAGAACACCCCCTCCCCTTCTATTAAACCCCACTGCACAAGTTTGGCCAGGAGGGATTAGACCTCCCTGCAAGGTCACTGACAGGTGGTTATCTCATCAAATCAGCTCTCAATTTAACATAAGAAAAAGGGGACCATGGGGACCAATGGTCACCGAGTATAGGCATTGTTTGCTATATAGAGGGCACAAGTAGCTATAAGTAGTGCAGTGGGGCTTTAAAGAAAATGACAGCTGACAGAACTCACCGCAAACTCCTCAGGTTGGACTCTGAGCATGTCAAAGACGGCTCTGTCATAGCTCTTCATCCGAGGTAACGTCCATCTACTGTCTATGGCTGGGTCTTTCTCACTGTGGTTCTGTAAAGAGACAAAAATAAAAACAAATAAAAAATCAGTTATTTATACTACTTCTCAACATCAAATACAGTCAAACCTGCTAGTCAAACCTGCTATAGTGACTACCTGTACAGAAAGACCACCTGTCTACAAAGACCACATTTTTTGTTTCCCTCGGGTAGTCTTTATAGACAGGTTTCACTGTATATGTATGTGACAATTTACCTCATTTTGGTATGTGTGTTATTAAAAGATGGGCGGAACAGTGATGAAAAGGAGATAGACAGGAGGAAGAAAGAGGAGAGAATGGCAGACAGAGATAAAAAGATAAAGTCAAGGGGTGAAAAGAGACAAAAGAGACAGAAAAATAAAAAAATAAAAAATAAGAGATTCATGAACACAGATGACCATAGAAGTACATGAAGAAAAGAAAAAGAAAAACTGAACAAGTGTACATGCAGCCAAATTAGATGGGCATCAAAGAGAAAAATCAGGAACATTCATCAAGTGTTGCAGAAGATGGTGAAAGGTTTGGCAGTCTGTAATAATTACAATGAAATAATAACATGGTCAATTAGTCCATTGTAAACACTATTGTATACACACTCCTAAATTTTCATTACGATACTCTTCATCTGTACATGCACATCTGTACACACAAAATCAGAACACTGGCAATGTTACTCCGCATACATGGATATACAATGTACAGATAACACAGTTCTCAAAACACATGACGTGTGATGTGAATTATGCTGAAAGAGATATCGACCTACAAGTATGGCAGAGTGAGACATCTCATATGAATTAATACAACATAAACATGAAACAAGCTATATATGATTCCTCAGGTACATGTGTACATGCAAATCATCAAATTACTATAAAACATAATTATTCAATCATTACCCTAATCCTCCTGGCGCCATTTTTGGTACGATGCACCTTTTCCAACTCTCTACACAACAAACACACAACAGCTCCCATCTTGAAACCTGCCTTCGCCTCAATGAACACGCAATGGAATCCAAACATATCCCAAAATACTGGATGCAGGAAAACAAGAAATATACTGACGTACGTACGTACGGGAAAATGATTCACATCTCCAAACCCGTTGATAAGGGGAATCTGACTCACACAGATTTTGGCCGCTGGCCCTGTATTATAAGTTATTTCATATTGTTCGCTGTTAAGAGCCAGATGGTCATTGATGTACATTACTACAATTTTTTGGGGAAGGGGAATACCCTTCTGGCTCTGCCGTATGATACGGTATATCATATAACAGCCGTAGTGAGTGATTATATTATACCAAAGTGACTATGACTCAACTATATGCGGCTTGTGATTATTGTTTTGAAAAACTCTGCTGGTATCTAGGTAGGCGTGGGTGCTTGTTACGTGTGTTAAAATGGCTCAATTAGTGTTCTCTTGTGGACTGAAAATTGGTCATATCAAATTATTTTCTGGGGAGTTAAAAAAAAGGTGTAAACTCGTATACAGTGCTACTTTCCTTTTGGCTTTCAGAAGATGTCGTCTGTTATGAGCCAGAAGGGCTTTTAACTCATAGCATTGTATATATACAGACAATGCTTGCCTAGCTCAAACATATAATATAGTTAACAACTGAATTAGTCATAACCTTGCCAATATTTTAATTTTTTAAGTTCATGTACATGTATGTGAAAAATGTATTTTGTCCCGATTTACATTACTTGAGAATGTGACCAAAGTAGTCAACAAAGGTCCTAATTCAACCTGTCCAACTTTCGTTCATGAGTTATGAAAAACTCTGTAGAGGTTCATGTACATATCTAACAAAAATCCTTTTAACAACTTTAAAAACTGTTAAATGTACGTACGAAACAGAGAGCAAAGTATTACACATTTATAAAAAAGTGAAAAATAATGAGTCATCAATTCAAGTTGTAACTGCTGCAATAAAATGAACTTCTCAGGAAGAATAGAGCATTAACCTAGCGTTTAATGTACAGTTAACAAATAGATTATTCATACCGTTACCAGTTTTGTAAGTTTGTATGTACATGTACACGTATGTGAAAAATTGATTTGTCCCCATTTTTGTTGTTGAGAATGTGAGATATTATTAAAGGTAACATCTAAAATTATCAAAGAAAGGCCCCAGTTCAACCAGTTTGCATTTCATTCTTAAAGAGAAGGTTGAGTTCTGGGAAGAGGTGAAAAATAATTTGTGAGCATTATCATTCTTATTATGCAAGTGTGGAAGAACATCAGATAAGACATGTTCCCTGAAAAGCATAGCTCTTCAAATGCCTTCATATTCTAAATATATGTCATGTAATATCGTAAAGCTCGGGGTAGGATTTTTACGCCACGTGTTCGTGTATTCCCATATACATCTTTCTGTGTACAGTGTTTGTAACTTTACCAAGACTTGGCCAAATTTCTTCCATTTTGATGATTCCAGAACCTTGCAATACACACAAATTCTTATATGCTAGATGATCAACCGTTTCTTTCACAATGCAATTGCATGACCAGAACTCGACTTCATCTTTAAGTTACAAAAAACACAACATACATCAAATTTACATGGGTATGAATAATTTTTGTTAACTGTATCTGCAATGCACAACTAGTGATCTACATGTACCGTGCACACAAATCTTCTAAATCGGATACATTTATATTATAGAATACAAGAAGAGGGGGAAGAAATTGAGTTTTATGAATTACACACATATTATCTACACTATTGGTTATTATAAAGGACATCTGATTCTCTTTCTTAGGCTGTGACTTACAGTTACAATGTAGGTGTTCAGTTTGAAATATGATTCTCTCAATTGTAACCCATCAGAGAAAAATGATATGACAATTGGAAATTGATATGTTTGGCAACTTTAAAACTAGTGTGATTGGATACTGTTATTTGGCTAGCCTTTTCAAGCTAAGTCCCTATAAGATCAAGTAATCGGTTGAATTTATAAATCAAACATATATGCCAAGTACTGAACTGAATGGATCAGAAGTATAACATTTTAGACATTACAAATTCCTAATCCTTTGGAATAAAATTAATGAATAAACCTGGATGAAATGAAAAGTTTAATTGTGCTGGGATAAAAATTGTTATGAATGGGAATGCTTGTATGCTTTCAGGCTCATTGCCAAATGCCAATGAATAAAGGAAACTATTACGTTGTCCTCATTTTCCAATCATGAATTGAAATTGACCATAATCAGTCAATAGAAGTGGAAAAAGGGTATTGTAAAAGTAATAACTATTAATTTTGTCAGCTTGGAGCCAGAAGGGCGTTATCTCATATACTTTAAGACAGACTTAAGTGACAGAAAGTAGTAAATTGCATTGGTACAAGATGTAATGTATACTGTATATTGTAGTAGTAGTAGTAGTAGTAGTAGTAGAGTCAAACCTGCTCTAGTGACCACCTGTCTACAAGACCACATTTGTTGTCTCCCTTGAAAATGGTTTCTCATTGTAACAAGTACTAAAGGAACCCGTCTACAAAGACCACCTGTCTACAAAGACCACCTGTCTACAAAGACCACTTTTTGTGTTTCCCTTGGCCGGTCGCTATAGACAGGTTTGACTGTAGTAGTACATGTAGCAGTAGAGCAGTAGTAGTGGTAGTAGTATTCAATGCATATGGATACTTATGATTAATTCCATTCATTAATTGAATATCATACAAATTTATATGGTGTAAAGTTATATAAAATTTCATTGATTTATGAATAATTCTTGTTTTTATAATTATCTGATACTCATAAATAGTGACCTTGACGGGGTATAACAAATTATTCCATTGTTAATATAGTGTGTTCAGAGCTAGAAGAGTGTTAGAATATGCAACTGTGCCTACAAATCGAGAGATATTATTGAAACTATTAAAACTGAAGTACTGCATTACACTGTGGGCTGATTATAATCATTGCGATTTGATTCTCCCTACACTTATTATGCTACCTCTCTTACATTATATTTAAAGATTTATACATTAAACATGCATCATTACTGTAGTTATTGGAAACTAATTGCACGCTATTTTAATCCTTTTCACATGATTCTATATAAAGCAAGCCACAGCATGGATTCTTATTCAGATGTCACTGGTAATCTATCACTAAAATTTGGCAGCCACTTGACTATTTTTGAAATGGGGAAATAAAGGGGGCCATATTTTAGGTTTTAAATTCATCAAAAATATTAACGATCAGCTTAGGAATTTTTGTTTAATGCTGTTTCATGGGGATGTATTTTTTGTGGGTAGGAAAATATATCCAGAGAAAATGTTAGAATCCTTTTTCATGTTAATTATTAAAATGTTCTGTACTACGCAAAGACATCTAATCTACTTTGCTTCTCTCCTCCCAGGTGTATAAATGGATGCTTGGAAAGGGGGATGTCATTTTGGTGGAGCCAGCATGGTGCACTCCAGTAACATGGTGACTGGTTCAAATGCTCCAAAGGGAGTGGAGAATGTGCAACATTATCTGCAGGGGTTTCTACATTCAAGGATTAGATTTTATTCACGGTGTAAAACGGACATTTGACAATAATATCACAAATATCAAATACATGTACCTACATCATCTATACTATACCATATGACACATAATTGTTTACCTAATAAACAAAATCAACTTTGCAAAACCTGACAAAACAATTTCTGTGAAAATATGCTTGGTCATTTCAGCAGAATTTGATGAAAATAAACAATTTCTACGACTAGGCGGGACTACCTATAAGGTGGAATGTCTCAAACTATTAACCGTGGGTGGATTAAATTCAAGGTACACAAACAAACTCATAGAAACTGAAGAGGCCAGGGCAACAGACGACAGAGATTTAAAAGCTTAAAAACTATCTCTGACCTTTGACGAAATCCTGCCTAAAAGCATAATCGCGTTGTTCTGCCGCGATATCCATCGGTTAAGTCTAAGGTTGGGGAGATTTGTATCGTATTTTGGAGCTTAGGTGTGGAGAGCTTAGTGCTGATTGATTTCATAGG